GGATTATTTCACTAAGTGGCCAGAAGTCTTCGCCATTTCAAATCAAGAAGCTTCAACAGTTGCAGATAAACTAGTTCATGAAGTCTTCTGTCGTTTTGGAGTACCTTTAGAGATTCACAGCGATCAAGGAAGGAATTTTGAGTCTCAAATATTCCAGGAAACTTGCCGAGTTATGGGTACTCATAAAACAAGAACGACTTCTTATCACCCGCAATCTGATGGAATGGTGGAACGATTTAATCAGACATTGGAGAGGTACCTAGCAAAAGTTGTAGACAATCGGCAACGAGATTGGGACAAGCACATACAACCGTTTTTGTTGTCATATCGAAGTTCTGTTCACGAAAGTACAGCAGTGACACCAGCTTTCGCAAACTTTGGAAGAGAATTACGGCTGCCTGCAGACCTGATCACCGGGATACCACCCGATGCTCCACGCAGTATAACCGATTATGCAAATGACTTGCGAAAAAAATGAATGACGTTTATGAGCACGTCAGACAATCGGGCCAGCAAATGTCTGAAAAGATGAAAACCCGGTATGACCGCAAAATGAACAATAAAGGGTTCAACGAAGGTTCATTAGTGTGGTTGCACAATCCAGTCCGCAGCAAAGGGAAATCTCCTAAGCTTTAAGCTAAATGGGACGGCCCGTACCGGATTGTAACCAGGATCAACGATGTGACCTACCGGATACAGAAAGGCGCAAGAGGGACTCCTAAGATCGTCCATGTGGATCGCTTGGCGCGTTATTATGGGACCGATAATGCTCGGGACGAGCATGTCTTAGGAGGGGGCAGTGTTGCATGAATAAGTCAACTAGCGCCATCTAGTGTCAGGAACGAGAGCGAGGGGAGCATTGAGAAAATGACATCACAAATCACTCAACTGACAGCGCCTAGTCGAAACTCGAACGCTCGGTACCTTCCGCGTGTTTACTTGAACATTCTGGATATTTCTTTGCTAATTTAAATATATAGGCGCTGCAAGATGCGAGGGTGTTAGTGTTGATTTGGGCGAAACAAGCGAAGCTTCGGAGTGGAATTAAGTGAATTAGTGTGTTTAAATTATTAGTGTTTCAACTTTAATTGTGTAAAGTAAATTAAAGTGTTAATTTAGGTAATTTTATCGGCAATTTTTATTGTCACGAACCTCAAGCTCGTAACATTATGTTAGGTTTGATTTCATTAAAATTAGACAACTTATTATTAAAGTAAAGAATTAAAGTATTGCTTATATTTATTTTTATAGTTTTTGTCCGTTATTCCTAATCTGATTTTAGTAGGTATATCATTAACGAGGGTTGGTATTAAATACGCGTTCGTTCGTTTTCCGTAATAATTTCTAACTCTTGGTAATTCTAGTTTTGATTGAGTTACTTTCCGTGTCATTGTTTTATAACTCACTTTTATTTGTATTTCTTTATTCGTAAATTGTTCAATTAATAGCCACAATTTTATTTTAATATGAACAGGCAATATTTCACAATATTTAAATAACGCTAATACATCGTCGTCTCCGAAGTAGATTGATTTTTTAATTTTATCAGGTATTATTATTTTTAAAAGCCGAAGTTGTAGGCTATATATTTTGTCCAAATATGTTTTAAACGTCCTACCATAGCTAGTGATCCCATATGAAATGATTGACTCTGCGAGTGCATTATATAAATTTAGTAATATTTTAAATAGTACTTTGTATTTCAAGATAGCAAATTTGGCTAGCATTGCTCTCAGTTTTTCACATATTGAGTCAATGTGATAACCCCAGTTAAATCTGTTATCGACTACTAGTCCTAAATATTTGTAACGGGGAACCTGCTCTAACAATTCACATTTGCACCCGGTCCTATTTGTTTCAAAATCATGCAAGCACTGATGACTATGCGCAATTACTTCTATTTTATTATCAAAATTGCGTAGGTAGTTAGATCGAATATGAATAATTTTAGTTTTACTAGCATTCAGTACTAAACCAACATCATGAGACCATTTACATAAGTTATTGAAGTCGATTTGTAAAAGGTGTTCGGCCTTATCTAGATCTTTATCGACTGCTATAAGACATGTATCGTCCGCGTATTGATAAATGGAACAATGTTTTATTACATTTTCCATATCATTCACGTATGCTAGATAATGCAAGGGTCCGAGCACGGAGCCTTGTGCTGTTCCAGTAGTTACAAATATTTCGTCACTGAAATCATTGCCGATCTTAACCCGGTATTTTCTATCGTTGAGATAATCTTGGCACCATTGTAATAATGGCCCGCGGATACCTGTATTGTCAAGTTTTTTTATAAGAATATCGTGCCTAAGAGTATCAAATGCCTTACTAAAGTCAATGAATAATAATATGACATGTTTTTTTATCATTCAGGTGTTGGTTTATTTCGTCCGTGAATTTAGACAGCAATATAGTAGTTGATTTCTTAGATTGAAAGCCGTATTGAGCATTTGATAATATATCGTTTCTAGAATAAAAATTATGAATTTGCTGGGCCACATATTTTTCGACTACCTTATCTATGACTGACAGTATTGTTATAGGCCTATAGCTATCATACTCACTATGTGATCCCTTTTTATAAATTGGTCTTACGGTGCCAGTTTTCAATTCTTGTGGATATTTTCCTACTGCTATGCTAGTGTTTATCAGCTTAACTACAATATTAGCAATCTTGTCACTCAGCATCTTAACGTCAAAACATCGGATTCCATCATTACCAGCCGATTTATTTGCATTTAAACTTTTTGTAATAGTTAGTATATCGCGCTTAGTAGGTTTTTTAAATAAAATAGATTTGTTTTCAGGAAGTATGTATTCCGATTCTGACATAAGTTTTTTGCTGCATCCAGGCAAAATTTTCTTGACGTTTTCACAGAATTCTTTAGCAAAATTGTTGGCTATATTTCTTAAGGTTAGATTGTTTTTCTTGAATGCTTTGGTTACAGCTTCATCTACTGACTTACAGACTCTACCAGTAAGCGTATTTAATATATCCCACATTTTCTTTTTATTCATTTTATTATTATTAATTAAATCATTAAAATATTTGTTTCTAGATTTTTCAATTAATTTTTGAGTTTTGTTTCGCTGTTTATTAAATTCTAATCTAAGTATATAATTATTCGTATCCTTTTTCCACTGATTAAAAAGTAAATCTCTTTTTCGGCACATGTTGTTAATTTTATTATTTATCCATAATTCTTTGTTTCTTTTGCTATTTAAATTTATTTTTTGTGTATATTTGGATAGTTCGTAACACATTTTGAATTTATTTTTAATATAATTATAAATCTCTATTGGACATAACATCGTATCGACACCATTCCAATCAATTTCATTTAATTTTTGTTTTAATATATTATAATCAATTAGTTGTTTAACTTTTGCACCATTCCGTATAATGTTTGCAACTCCGCTTCCTATGCACGACAACACGATGGTCGTGGATGGCGGACAATACGATGGTCCGCCATTACAGTACCGAGTGCGGCCGAATAAAGGTCTAGCGAGCGCGTTCTTGCAAAAATATGATCAATGCAACTCCGCGTAATAGCATCCTTTCGGTTTTCGATTAATAAAATAGATTTGTTTTCAGGAAGTATGTATTCCGATTCTGACATAAGTTTTTTGCTGCATCCAGGCAAAATTTTCTTGACGTTTTCACAGAATTCTTTAGCAAAATTGTTGGCTATATTTTTTAAGGTTAGATTGTTTTTCTTGAATGCTTTGGTTACAGCTTCATCTACTGACTTACAGACTCTACCAGTAAGCGTATTTAATATATCCCACATTTTCTTTTTATTCATTTTATTATTATTAATTAAATCATTAAAATATTTGTTTCTAGATTTTTCAATTAATTTTTGAGTTTTGTTTCGCTGTTTATTAAATTCTAATCTAAGTATATAATTATTCGTATCCTTTTTCCACTGATTAAAAAGTAAATCTCTTTTTCGGCACATGTTGTTAATTTTATTATTTATCCATAATTCTTTGTTTCTTTTGCTATTTAAATTTATTTTTTGTGTATATTTGGATAGTTCGTAACACATTTTGAATTTATTTTTAATATAATTATAAATCTCTATTGGACATAACATCGTATCGACACCATTCCAATCAATTTCATTTAATTTTTGTTTTAATATATTATAATCAATTAGTTGTTTAACTTTTGCACCATTCCGTATAATGTTTGCAACTCCGCTTCCTATGCACGACAACACGATGGTCGTGGATGCGGACAATACGATGGTCCGCCATTACAGTACCGAGTGCGGCCGAATAAAGGTCTAGCGAGCGCGTTCTTGCAAAAATATGATCAATGCAACTTCGCGTAATAGCATCCTTTCGGTTTTCGATTCTAGTGTAATCTGATATTGCACTCGCTAGTCCACATTCGGCCATGCAACTTATATAGTGTTGAGTATCATGCGACTTTAAGTCGATATTTATATCACCCAGTAAGTATAAATCCGAGCATTTAAAAACGTCCTTACACAACAGTTTTTTCAATTCTTTGATAAATAAGTGTTTGCTTTCTTTGGGTGGTCTATACAATGAACAAATAAGTGCCGTGTATTGATGTGACGTAGATAATGTACCTATTAAAGATTCACAATGGTTTAGTGATATATTATTTAGAATTTGAAACTTGTGGGTACTTTTTATATACATAACAATGCCACCACCTCTTCGCTGTTCACGAAGCTTATAGTACATTTCATAGCCATGAATATTAAATAATTGAACAAGATTACTGCTTTTGGAAATTCCTACCTCTGTTAATATAATAACGTCGACATCAATTTTAGACGAATGAATGAATTGTAAAACCAGACAAAAATTTTTAACTATTGATCGCAAATTTATGTGGACAATATTTAGTTGTTGTATATTATGTGGTATATATTTACTAAACTCGTTTATGTTAGTACAGTCAAACAATTCTTGTATTCCCTGTGAAGGAACTGTTGCGTTGTGTAAAACTGCTATCGATATTTTTGAGAAGACAACTTATCAATATCACATGAGCTTCTTATGATAACGGGCTTGTCATTATCAAATTTACGAGCCAAAACTTTACCACCCTGGAACCAAATATATTTGTAAGTTTCCTTCAAGGTTTGTTTAGCTTGCCACAGAAGTGTTTTATTTGCTTTGGTTAGTGCACGCCGAAGTAACACTCTTCTCTTGGCTACTTCAGGATTAGGGGCATTTGGAGTTATATCTTCCAAAGCAATTGTTTCCGTTCGTGCAGCGCGGATCCACTGGTCGACCTGCTCCTTTTGTTGTAATACTACCTGGATCACACCTTCTTTACCATCCCTGCCTTTCAGTCTTTTCACCATTGACGCTTGACGTTTCTCTACTTTTAGTTTCGAGGCTAGTTTACTTGAAAGTTTTTCCAAGTTCTCGTCCTTATTTTCGGGAATTCCTGTTATTTCCAGTACATTATCCAACTGTTTTTGTTCCATATTTCTGATTTGTTGTTCCATAGCATTAACTTTTAATTCCAAGTGGGTATTTTGATTTGTCAAGTACATGTTTTTCTTCTCCAAGTCTTTCACTTTCTCAGTTAGGATTTCCAGTGTAGCATTTATAGTATCCATTTTTATACACCATGAGCTTAACGATTCGTTCACAGAAGCCAGTTCCATCTTCACTGCTTTCTTTACCTCAAGTGAGATATCACGAAGTAATTTACTCATCGCTGTCGAACCGCTTTCACCCAGCTGAATCCCATCAGTATCATCGTCATCGTCCTCCGGAATTATGAAAGACTTACGATGAGGCGATTCTTTACGAAATAGAGAAGCCAGACTTATTTCACATAGCTTATTTGACTTTTGTGCAAGGGCAATCTAACATATAATCTAATTACTTTTTTCTTCTAGCTTTCTTTCTCTTATTTCTTTCTTCTAGCTTTTATTATTTATTTCACTATCTTTTATAGAGGAATGTCAGATGACTTCAATTATTATACTCTGAGTAACCTTTGATACATCAAATTAGTTTTCATAAAATTTAAATCTCAACACCAACACACTATCATTATTGTTTAATTTGACAAGTGTAACAAATATGCTGGTACGTTAGCACATAGTAAGAACAGGATCACTTTTTATGTTTCTTCTTTTTTGATCACAAAAGCAGCACTGATGAAAGTAATTGCTACATATCATAGATTTATGCGGAGTTCAATTTTATCCATTTAACACTCACAACCACTTTTCTCTAATCTTTGGATTTATGAGGAAATCTTTAAATAGTATGTTGTTCAGTTTCAATAAATGGACAATACATACATTATCATAACAATATATGTATTGTCTATTTATTGAAACTGTACAAATATAACTTACTAGGTATTCTTCAACTTTTTTTGAATGAAATCGACATCAAAAACAAATCGAGCGTATCACTAATAAGTGTGGTAATTAAATTCAAAATTCATTTATTTCAGACAACAAAGATCCATGTGTTAGTATTACATTAATGCTTAAAAACTAAGTGTTAGTATTTTGAAAAACAAATTAAGTTAATTTATATTATATTATATTTAGAAATAAAATAAAATAATAATATATCTAGAAATAAATTAAATCTAACTTAGTCAAATTGAATCGAGATTAGATCAGACCAAATCAGAAAAAATAATTCCAAATTAAATTCTATTTTGTCATGTACTTAAGAGGCACTCCGTGCGGTCGACACCTCGAAGAATTATTATCAACTGTATAAGTCATCGTTCGCACAAAGTGCCTTACAATAGGCGCATGCGTATCCTCTGCCACTGTTCTCAGGATGCTGTTTTCACTTCTCTTAGTGACGCTACTTTTTTCTGAACTATGGCATGAAAACCGTCAGTTCGGGTTATCAAACATACCAGAGGCACTACAAAAGCGGGGAAGTGCCAACATCATCCTGAAAACGTTATTGTACTGGACGCGCAGGGTGTTTAACGATTTTTTATCATACCCAATCCACAGACCACCCGTGTACATACCCTAGCAATACGCTTTGAATAAGGTTATTTTAATCTGATCTGAACAGCGAGCAAATCTACGGGCCAGCATATTGCCGCGTACCGCCAAAGCCCCCTCTCTATATCTAAATCAACCTTAAGGTCATAGGCAAGAATATGCCCTAGCTAGGTATTTAAATTGATAAACCCGCTTTAGTTCCGATCCATTTAATCTTATTGCAGGGATAGATTCGGGATAATTGCCGGCTACCCTAAAGACCATGTATTCACTTTTATATATGTTGTATTCAAGACCATGCGAGGCAGCGTAAGTCTCGCAGACCTTCAAAATTTCTCCGATCGCATTCGCAGTGGGACTCAGCAACACCATGTCATCCGCATAGCTGATGCTATTGATACTAACACCACCCACGCGACATCCAACACGCATGCTACTGAGCTCCACCAAGAGATCGTTAACATACAGGTTGAAGAGCTTTGGAGTCGATAACCCTCCCTGCCTCACTCCGCACTCCAATCTGTATGACTCGGAGAGACTGTTTGACCATTTAACATAATTGGTCTGGTTTGCATACCAATACCGAAAAATATTAATCATCTCCGCTGGAATACCCCTGTCCTCCATCTTCCTCCAAAGCACATCATAAGAAACGAGATCGATGGCTTTGGAGAGGTCCAGAAAATAGGCGTAAACAGGCGTCCTCCTGTCCTTGTAGTATTGGACAGTATGCTTAAGGCTCAAAATTGAGCTTTCAGTGGATAGTCCGGGCCGGAACCCGAACTGCGCACACATTAAAGCCCTCATATTTCTTTGTTATTTTCCAAATATGGCTGATTTTTTTTGTGTTGGGTGATCTCAATACTAATTAAAATTAATTTTTCATTAACTTTTCTCCAAAGCCGGCAAATTTGTGAACTACTATTAAGAAAAAACCATAGATATCAGGTTATAAACTTACTGGTGGAATGAATAATCCTAGGGATTATACTTTTTGAAAGAGTTCCGTCCTGGTACAGAACAAAAAAACTATCGTATTATACACGTATTATATTAACTAGTTATCATTTAAGTTCACTTATGAAATTATTAAAACGTATTCGTGCACTATGTACTGGGCCGCTATGTACCGGTAGCTAATGGGTGCGTTTGGCAGAAAAAAGCGCTAGCAAGCGCTTGTAAGCAAAATGACAGCTTCACTCGTTTTCTCTTTCTAACACAGGGAAGTATATAGCTCTCTTTTACTCATAAGCCCAATCTATGGAGTTTATACTAGATGTAGACAGAGAAACCTATAGACAAATTGACGCCTTCTTTCGCATTCGCACACGAAAAAGATAGATTGATGCATACGTCTTGCATAGAAAATAATAGAGCGGTGTAATTGTTTGTCCCTTTCACCCTGCCGGTTTTTTTGTTTAGCAAACTGTAGAGTTTGCTAAACAACTTTGAAAGCGTAGCGATTTAAGGAGTTTACAAATTGGTTTAAGTGTGAAAAAAGTGTTTTGTGAGCCTAAGATTGGTGAATCTTGTTCAGTTCAGTTCTTAGAACAATTAAATTTTTTATCTAAATGTGTTTAAAAGTCATAAAGATTATTGTATAACCTAAAAATTCGTTATCGTCCTTTCTCACTCGAGGCCACGCCGATCATTAGTCTATAGGTTTTTCTGTGTACGATACTAGATCTATGGTTTAGGCTATCTTTCTCGCTCTAACATACGCGTAAATTATGCTCTTTCTCTTTTGCATGACCAATCTATTCTTACGTCAGTTTATATGTACTTATAAGTCAATGTTGTTGCTTCATATTTATTCATCTATGACTGTGTTTGTTTCGTAGACAGTTCTCTGTCTAGTGTCTACGGTTTGTTTGCTTCTTATCACAGAATAAATAATAGTTATTTACGGTTATTTATTATTGGTTTGTGTTTTGTGTGTGTCAACCACAGAGTACTTTTTATTTTTATATATTTGTAAGTGTCAAATGTCAAAGAATAAACCAGTAATCTATGGAATAAACCGTGGATTTTAGAGAGAAAACTGATAAATTCTCGATAGTTGCTTAATTTCAATTAATATTATAATAATAATAATAACACGGAAATAATATGTATTAGATTCACAGAATATATATTGTAAATTAAGCCCTGTATTATGTAGTTTGGACCTACATAGCTTTTATTTCAAAATAATTTAATAAAAATGGTATAATTAATTTTAAAGATAATAGAACCAATTGTACGATATTTAATTTTTATTGCGGTATTTTTTTTTTTTTTTTGGAAAAAATAGTTATTTTGCAATGTGTTTTTAAAATCATATTGTGTAGAGGAGGCATCATAATACTGCTACTTAAAACAAGTTCCTTTTGTGAGCTTCGTTGTGAGTTTAATCATAATGGATTTACTTAAAACTCCTTCTATTCAGTCATTGTTAGATTCGGACTTGGAATCCGTTGAAAGTCTTCACTATGTTGATATTGAAGAGGTAATAAAAAAATTGAAATAAAATTTTGGTTTTTCAATATGTTTTAATCATTGATTTCAATAATCATTTTTATTTTAATTGCAGCTCGATGAAGTTGAATATGCACTACCTGCCAGTGAAGCACCAACATTGGCTGAAATATTGTCAGCTGAAGATGTGGAAACTCAACATAAAGAAACAATCAACTGTGTTAAAGATCCTACTTCATGTTCCGCTCTTCAAGTTGATTTCTTACAGGCTATTTCTCAGCAAGTACTCCAGGCACAAGTATGTATATATTATACCACATTTTACGAAGTTTCATTTTCTATTTCATGTCTTTTCAAAACCAAAAATAAATATAGCAATTAGCCTAGACCTAGTTGAATATTTTTCATTTTCTGTGAGTTATCAGAACCATGTTTTCTTAATCAAGAAAATGAAAATTAAGAGACATCCATCATCATCGTCATTACAGTCTCGCTAGTCTACTGCTGAACATGGCCTCCCCCACATGCATCCATTGATTTCCTGCATCTCTTACCATAGTAACATTTCATATTAAATTCATTTAACCTTCCTTTGATTATGTATGAAGCTCTACAAAAATGGCAACATGGCAGAGTAGGGAGATAAGAGGGGAGGGTAGAGCGGAGGAATCCCTCTGGAGGAATAAAAGTGGAGAAGCATAGATTTTGAGGCAAAATAATTTGATTATATGTGTGCAAAAAATCTCTTAAATTGAAGCAGAAATTGCAGAAAAATTGTAGGAGATAATGAAAAAGTAGTGAAAATGCCTCCAAGGGGGATTCAAAACTATAACCTTTTAATAGCATTATGTCAGTAAATAGTGATGTATATTCTTTTTAATAGTAAGTTAATAGTAAGATAGTAAGCACAAGCTGTTTATACCAGTTACTCAAATCCAAAAAGTCCGTAATTTCATAATGGGCAATGTTTATACTTTCACAACAATGCCCTAGAAAATATGAAGGCTAATTTAAGAATTTGAAATATTTTATTAAGTAAATTCTTTTTGATATGGGTGGTTTTCCTAATAAAGTGTATATGATTGATAATAAGCCTTGATAATTAGGTGATCACTACAATGCTGTTTGTAAAATGTTTTCATATTTAATATAATTATATTAAATATTATACTCACTATGCTTCCAATACACATATTAAAAATTGAACCTTATCATTTTGGGTTGAGGAATAATTTAAAAATAATATATGGTAGTGTTGAACTGCAACTATATTATTGTTATGGCATGGACAGGTGAAAATTTACTATCACTAGCACAGTCACTACAGCCTATAACAAGTACACTGCTGAACATAAGTCTTATAAAAGGTACATAATAAGTATGTAAATAAATAAGTAGACACCTTACATAATTTTTAAGTTGAATACATCAAACAAGAATTATCAATCAGTTATTTGTATAATAGTAGATATATATATATATTGGCAAGGCAATTATTTCTGACAAACATATATATATATATATATATATATATATTTACTTATCATATATAACAAAAATATATTAATCTGCCGGCTTACATGGGGGTGAACATATGGAAGAGATAAAAATTGAAAAAAAAAAATAAGTTTATTCGAAATTGGCAGATATTTACAGAAAATATCAAGTGACCCTCAACAATGCTTTGAGTCAAAATTCTGACAATTTGGACGAGACGCAAGATCACGGTGGCTTTTTAAATGTGTAAAAAACAATTGTTAGGTAGAAATACACAAGCTCATCAGATTTTCAAACTGAGGGTTCGCTTTCATGCTGGAGATGTGCTGCTACAAAATCTGACAATTTACAAGAAGTTTCTAAATCTAACAAGTTAAATTTTTTTTTAACTCTTTAGTACTGAATTTTTTGATAGGATAAGAGCGCATGGAAAATAATAATAATAATAATAATGGCATGGAAGTAAAAAAAGTAATTCTTAAAATATAAATATATTTTCAAATCAAAAATTTTACATAAAATGTAAATTTTTTGATTATATAACATCATCACTCATTGCTGATACACAATTTACTAAAATTTACTCACAAAACTTATTTAAAATAAATAAATAACCAGAACATTATAATTATTATTAATACAATGAGTCTACACATGAGTCTGTGATCAGCTGTCATGGTGTTATGGCGATGGAAAGTAGTGTGGGGAAAGAGTAAGAGCAATAGAGATGTGGAATGAGGAATACCGGTTTCGCTTGAACTACACAAATTAAACTTAAGAGATTAATTATCGTTACTTCGGCTTATGGAAATTGTCAGATTATAATTTTTCCGTTATCTTTTAATTATTTCCAGCAATTCCAAAATTTGACCTCGCTCGAAAATGTCGATCTAACGTTTTTTTTTGCAAGTTTGTAACATTTTCACGCCCTTGCGAAAAGCTAAAATCGGCAGAATATTGTAATGCATGCTTTTAAGCATCTAAGTAACTCACTCTACCTTAATCTGACGTGCGCAATTATTTCTGACAAACTTTTTTCATTAATATAAAGTTCATATATGGTGGAGGTACTTAATAGGGTGTAAGGTATCCTTCCTTATATTAATCTGCTCTGCTTCATTCAATCCCAATCCCCGCTTGGGCGAATTTTTAACACATACATTTAGAATGCTTATCAAATATTTTTTAAATGTTTTGTGCTTTAATCTATAAATATAATAAAAATTTAATTGCAGATGTACATTTTATATTTTTGTAACAAAATTGATTGAGAGGGACTAAAAATAAGTAACTGAATACATTTGTATCATTTTTAGAATTGTCTGTCTGTCTGTCTGTTTGTTTGTTAAGGTATCATGTTTTATATCAAAATAATCATTAGGAAAATTGTAAAGCGTATCTTCGTTTTAAGTTTAGTCTTTGCTTTCTTAAAATCGGTTTATCCTATCAAAAGTTATGATTAATATTCTGAAGTATGGGTACAATAAATTTGTTCAATGGTGTTGTTGAGTGATCAAGGACATGTTTGTATAGTGTTCTATAATGATATAATTGTATCTAAACGCAGTAAACAAAAATAATAAAGAATAACGTAATAAATATTTATAAAAAATATATAAATCTTAATATCTTAGTTAAAAAAGTACAATAGTTAACCAATGTCAACAATCGATGTTGTTGTGCAAATTATTTATTAAATTTTAAGTAGGTGAGCTTATAATTTTTTTCTTAACCGTCGAGTAACAACCTGTTACAAAGGGCTGGCAATAAAGAGTTAAAATATACATTGCGAAATGTTAATTAAGTTACTTAGGTGAAGTACCTATTCTGACTATGATAGTTTGACCATATTTACCCACCTATGTGAGTTCTGCGATGCCCATCGCATATAACTTGCAAGACCATTCGTCTGGATTCGCCCATGCTTGGCACGGAAGAAATAGGTAAATAATGTAAACAAGAACTAATCCTGAAATACGATTCCTAACGGAAATGTGATCGTATTCTACTTAGTTAAAAATCTTGTTAGTAAACAAAGTTTTAATTTCAGTATTTTGTGTTATTGTAACTTAAAATATTTTAATTACAAAAGACAAGTATAGGTATATAAGTATATTTACTTGGATAGTGAAGTAAATTTCTACTATAGTCCGTTCGTGTTAAGAAAATAGTGAGTCATCAGTGCAACTACAGGGTAAAGGTGTATAATCACAGTGGAGTAAAAATTCTTTTTTTTTCAAACATTTAATTAAGTTTAATGGAAAAAAATGTTCTTAAAATTACTTAAATCACTAATCAGTATCGCTAGATTCTCCAGTTACATTAATTATGAAAAAATTTTGTGCTGCAAGTTCCATGATGTAATCCAAATTCCACATGATATTTTCTTCGCGTATGACGTGGTCGCAGCACTTCTTCCAACGATTAGCGTCTATTAATGTTATTGCGTCATCTAATATTTTTTTTATGTCACTCATTTTGAACGTGGAGTTATTGTCACCAACATAATTTTTTGTATTTGGGCCCAAACCAATTCAATTGGATTAAGTTTGCAATGGTAAGGCGGTTGGCGAAGAATTGTAATGCCATTACTTTTGGCAGTCTCATCTATTAAATATTTATTATATTGTGGGGCGATTTCGGCAACTTTTATTAATAATTCTTTTTTTTTAAATAAGTCATGTCCATGGATTTGCCTTTGCTTTGCAGGCAATCTATTATTTGCTGCTTGTTCCAGCTGGTTGTTGGTATTTTTTTGACTCTTATCGAATGATGAAGGAGCGTTATCCATGACAACCACACTTGAACCTGGTTCTAGCTTAGGCATTATATTAATGAACCAATTAAGGAATCTTTCATCATCCATCTCTTCATGATAGTCTTTTGTAGACTTAGATTCAAATACAGTAGACCGTCGATTATCCGAACGTCGATCAACCGAACGACCGCTTAACCGAACTGCTACCATACCACGCTGAGATGCACCCCTCCCTCCTTCAACGCCCGAAGTGCCCTGCAACGCCCAGTGTTGGCCTACGTTAAGTACCCTATCGGTATACCCTATCGCTGTACCGCTGCCTGTAACTCATCAATTAGTGGTTCAGAAAATGAAGACGAAAATATATCTACTACTTTCAGCGTAGTAAAGCGATCAGTATCAGATATCTGTCCTAAAAAAGTGCGCGATTTAGCTGCGCGTAAGAGAATAGGTTCCACATAAATCGTAATAATAATGTCTTCGTCTTGACCTTAATATTGTCTAGGACTTCTTTAAACGTTAACTATATAGACATACTGTATGTTCAATATTGATTATACAATATTTTTTTGTTTAATATATATTAATTTGGGAGTGGTAATCGAAGCAAATATATACATTCGCTTTGGGTGCCATCCCATTATATTTTGTGATTTTAAATGTTTATATTTTATTTTAGGAAAGGTCACTAGCAGGTGCAGCCACAGCACTAAGCGTTGGTAATAATGGCAAAACAACTGTTGGTACAGCTCATGGACATCTGTTGTCATTCCAAGATCAAACCTTACGGTGGGTCTGTGATGCAAATGAAGATTGTGGGGCAGTTACTTGCTTAGCATATAATAACGACAGTACACGACTATTAGCAGGCTTCGCACGGGGTCTTGTTTATCAGTATGAGAGTATAAGAGGAGTAATTTTAAGACGTGTAACTCTTGGTGGTGAAACATGGGGTATATTACGGGTTACATGGGCGGGCACCTCAGGCCTCGCACTCGACACAGGTGGCTCTGTCTGGTTGATGAAATTCTCGCGGCCTCTTGGTGTGCGCTCTGCTCGTGTATCGTGCCTTTTTTCTGGTGCTCGTGGCGAAGTAGTTGCAATGACAGCAAGAGATGCCCGTATTTTGGCACTAGCAACACTTTCGCGTGTCATTATTGTGGCTGGTGGTCGTGCTGCGGGTGTACGATTAAATGGACCGCCTGACACTCTTCCAGTTTTAGAATGGTGTGAATTTGACAATAGACTCCTGGTTTGTGCTCGAGCCAATTTGTTACAATGGCTGTCTATCAGCATAACCGGCTCGAATATTTCTCTGTGTCCAGTACAAAAAGTGGAACTGAAAGCAACACCACTTTGGATGGGCTGGCTTGGTGGTATTCTGGCTATATTTGATGCTAATGAGAGTCTGCGATTATGGGGTGATGATTACGACAAACCATTGGATCTTTCTCACATAGAACCCGTGTATTCTTCAGCATTTTTCAAGGTAATTTTTAATTTTTTTTTAATTAAAATAAATCAAATACAAAGCTTAAATTAGTTGAACACGGTGTCGCAAAAACCTTACAAGGTTTATCTGTACACTATGATTCATCGACGGCACTGTGCTTAACGTACATACAGATATTGTCTAATAAATAGAATATGATTTAGAATCGTAGCAAAGATCTATCTCGCGGTATTAAAAATGTGTCATGCTCATCAATATTTTTAATTGAATGTAGTTATAGTAGTTTTTCAGTAGTAATCGTTTTCGATGAGTGTCTCACGCGGTTGTAAAAAAGAAAGTGACATTTAAAACGCGGATAGGCGGGGTGAGAATCACTCGGGCGGCTTGGACGGTTGAGTGGATAATTAATTTTTAATAAATATATAAACATACCTATATAAATGTACATGATTAGTTACTTAAGCCTAATAATATAAATAATAACTTACTTTATGTGCTTAGTTGTATCATAAATCATTATGCTCATAAAATAAACTACAGACAGCCCATTAGCAGTTCACAGCTAGACATAGGCACTACCAGATACTGTCAGTAGATAGGTTTAGATTATGAAATAAATTAAGTTACCAGGGATCAATTCAGAAAAGTGAAATTCATTTTAATTTAAAGGAATTCACCCAGATGACACAGGTTTGCGCTGTTACCGCTAAAAAGAACCCATTTGTCGTATCTCTTCAATTTTAGGATACTCCCCTTTTACCTTAGGCAACATCGGGATCCTCGGCGTCGACATATTAGGAAGGCCTAAAAATAAATTGGCCTCTAAAAAGCTTGGTGAGCTCAGCAGAGCATATATCATGCCGGCACACTGCTTGCAACTTTCGAGTTAGACCTCACATGGAATCCGCCTCCTTTCACTTGACCCCATCCAGCGCAAAGTGGCTCGAATCGTCGACGACCGAGTTCTTTCCGATCGCCTCGATACACTGGCGCTGCGAAGGGATGTTGTATCTATCCTTTTCAAACGCATGTAACACCGAGTTCTAGGGAATTGTTCGGATTAATTCCAGCCACCAGGTTTCACGAATGCACTTCGCGACAAAACTCACGATACCATCTGGATGCTTGACGGTCCACCACTGCGCTTTTTAGGAGTTTTCTTCCTTGCACAATCTTTTTGTGGAATCGTTTACCATTGGCGATTTTTTCGGTAGTCTCTTATCATCAGGTGCGCTTCATGCTCGGTGGTCCCCTCTTCTATATATATATATATATATATATATATATATATATATATATATAAGAAAAGCAAAAAGTAAAATTCTTATCGTTTAAGTTCAGAAAGGATAGTCAACAGATATTCTCTTAATATAAGACAGTCCATAGATATCTCTTTTTGTAAATATTTCTATATAAAAGTTTCTATCGCAATGGCAATTGAAAATCCTGAAGGTCACATAAAAACATAACAACGTAAATGTGTTTTTCAGGGCCTGTGGACGGATGGTCGTGTTTCTCTTGCTATGTGCAAAGCTGGTGAAAACGCATTAGCTGGGATATGCGTAGGTGAGGGCGCATTATCATTACTTGGTCGTAAAGGAATCGTGCGAGTACGGCCACGCGACTTGCTCGCTAGAACTAAAGCATTCATTGGATCTGGACGGTATTTGCAAGCTTTAAGATTACTCTGCACTACACAAGGACCAAACGCTAAAAAATTAGCCATTGACGTCATTAATATGTTAGCAGAAAGACCTCACATATTGAGCAATAAGAATGTAGCCATACAAGCAATCAAGTTATGTTTGAAATATAATTTAAAGTAAGTCGCCAGTCAAATAGTAGTAATTCCATTAAACGTATACTGCTGTTTTACAAAAAGATCTTTACTTTTTAGTGAAGCACTGTGGTCTAATCTATGGGAGAATTGTTCCTGTGAAAAGGCATTTGTCGAAGCCTTAGGGGATGCTGTTGTGCGCGGGGAATTATCTGATACGCCGCCAACACCAGATTATTCGCAGGTACTTAAATTATTTTATTCGATGAAAAGATAAAATAATTAAAAACAAGATTCTTTTATGTAGGCTGGCTGCTATGTTTATAATATGACTGTGGCAGTGTTATGAATTTATCACAACTTGTAATTGTAATAGTTCTATTACCCTTTAAACCTGACAAGTAAATACACACACAAGCACGTACACACGCACACACATTTATGTATTTTTAGATTTTCTCCAAACCTTATCAAATTAGGAAGCTGAAAACGACGAAAATATGAAAACGAGTGAGTAGTTGTGTTTAGTTTTCTTGAGTTGCGATAACACTTACAAAAAACAAGCTGATTTCTCTTTAGAAGGCCGGCAACACAACAGCAATATCCCTGGTGTTGCAGTTGTACATGGGCGGCGGTCGACATTTACCATTAGATGAGCGGCACGCTTGTTGGCTTGGCCCCCATTTATAAAAAGTAGCAAGTACTTTCGACCCCAGACTAACATTGTGTGCTATACTCAAAGGTGAAGTCTGCTTGAACTGGAAGCTAAGATTTATAGCATGAGGTAGTGAAGTGAAGTAAAATGAATGATTTTTATTCAATATAGATAATTACATAATACTTATTGAAAGTAATTTTTTTATTTACCACTGATTCTGAAAAAATCTGTCCTGGGAAGAACCAGCGACGGACGGGACTTTTTTAAAAACATATTTCACTTTACCATAATTTAGTTTGTACAATTTTAGAATGATTTTTTATAGAATAAGCGTGGTGGCGATCACCTCCTTCCTAGGGGTACATTTAATACTTGATCTACTGGCCTTTCTATGTATGTAAGCGACGTTCCATCTCTTAGCATTTTTTGGCCTATTTAGCGCCTATGTTTAGCGGTCGACTACTGTACATATTTTCATAAGTTTCTGCCTTTGCTCGACTTTTTTAACTTCTCGCTAAGAAAATTGAACATTTTCCAAAATAGAGAAGTTATTGGTTTCACCCCGATTTTCGAAAATGGAGTTTTCATCAGATCTCGACGTTTTGAGATCCCAGGAAGCTATTATGACTAATTTCACGTGGACGTCCGTACGGATGAGTGTGTGTGTGTGTGTGTGTGTGTGTGTGTGTGTGGTGTGCGCGTGTGCGTGTGCGTGTGCGTGCGTGCGCGTGCGCGTGCGCGTGCGCGTGCGCGTGTGCGTGTGCGTGTGCGCGTGTGCGTGTGCGCGTGTGCATGTGCGTGCGTGCGTGCGTGTGTGTGTAAGTATGTAAACCTTTCATAACTTTTGAATGAACTGATTCGGACGAGTAGATTTTGAGAAATCTCAAAAATAATCATTGGGATAAGTTTTAAATGGCTTTGCTGATCTATTTCAAAAACTAATCAGATCTTAACCTCAAAAAATGACGCCGAATGCCGTTTGGAAAATAAAAATCGGTTCATTCGTCCGTGAGATATCGAAGGAGAAAGAATTTGAAAAAAAAAAGTTTTTTTAACATAACTACGACATTTCGCAACTTAATTTGGTGAAATTTGTAGCGCTTTGCATTTGAAATTAGCGGGAAGTTCCAGGGATGGCCTGCAGGGTCAAGCAATTTTTTTTTAATAAAATTTATGCGAGAAACATACTTAAAGTTCACCTAATGGTAAGTGGCTACGGCAGCCCATGTCCACCTTACACTACACTCAACTTCCCTCTGAAGATTAACATGGAATGCCTTAGAGCGGGTAATTATACTGGCTGCCTATACCCGTCAGACCCTAAACAACAGTACGCGCACGGCTGTTTAGGATCTTAAGGTAAGAGAGTTGGAAGCTACCCAGACAAACTCCTGGGCAGAGAAGCAGTACTATCACCTTTTACGTTGTGTAATCTGCTATTTGGAACAGCTAATATGTTTAAGGGTTTTTCAAGAATAGAAAGTTTGGCAACGCAAGTGTGATTCCTTCTGTATTTCACAGATGGTCTTAGGCGATGGCAATCACTAACCATCAGGTGTATGCATGTTTGCCCCCTCTTCTATAAAAATAGTACTAGTCTTATATATCGGACACTATCTGAACTATTGTATAGTCCTGTTAACCTTTACTGGTAAGATGCAGATTATGTTGCGTTTAACCGACACTTAGGATAAATGACCCACTCTTTGCATTGGACTTTGCCTAATAGTACGGAGAGACACCGCTGTTATCAAAAAAGCCCGGCATGACTGTCATTTCTTTATCATATATCAGATATTCAAAACATGTTTATTGTTTATTAATGAGTATCATGTTGTAGAAAAATTGGTTTCAAGATACACGAAATTTCATAAACGATCGACACCAAATGCGGTAATTTAAATAATTTGTATATGACAAATTTTCCAGGAACTTATTGAGAAGTTAGCTGAATTCGAGCCAGACCTTGTAGAAAGGGTGGTAGCGTCACTTCCTTTAATCTCACTTGACCCTCATCGCGCCAGCGTTTTTACTCGGGAGAAGGAATTATGGCGTGGCGTGGGAGCTATTGCAGCAGCGTTAGGTAGGTTAATCTATAGTATTCTTAATAATAATAATCTTTATTTGCATAAAACATGGTATATGTACAGATGTTTTTGTTTTATTCTATACACATGTTTTGCTTTTTTTAAATTATAAAAACCCATAATGAATGGGGAAAAAGGTTCTCGAGTGGTAGCCTGTTGGGCGATGTGTAGGGCAACTCCCCACGAGATGGAGTGACGGCCTGGTAAGACACGCAGCAAGTCTGGTAAGGATGCAGGTGGCTTAGGACCGTGCTTTTTGGCATTCCTTGGGGGAAGATTATGTTCCGCAGTCGACTTGTGAAAGGGCTGTAATGTTGATGATGATTTACTCAAAATAAGTAAAAATTGAACTAGATAAAATCCGTAAAAATAGTTTTATTTAATGCGTAGTGTTTGCATAAATATAAGAAATAGTTTTGTTAAAACTGTCGTAGACGGGAGCAGCGGCGCGATGCGCACGCTGATGGCGTATGTGTCGGAGGATTGCGCGGCGCGCGCGGGCGGACGCTGCACGTGCGCGGGCGGCGCTCTGCTGCTGGCGGCGGCGGACGCGCTTGCGGGCCGCGGCGCCGCCGGCCGCGCGCTGCCCGAGCACGCGCGTCCCTCGGCGCGCCATGACGCGCTGCACGCGCTGCTCGCACAGGTAGGTATGTGCGCGTTGCGTCGCACTGGCTGCACAATAAGTTTTTAGAACTGGCCACTTGTAAACGATAAAGTAAAAAAATAAGTTCAAAATTTTAAAATGTAACTCTTTGCCAATATTGTTGTATATGTATTTTATTTATTTGTCATTTGTTTATTTTTTTATTTAACTGGCTCTGAGTTCTAGCTCTTCTGAGCCTGTCATTTCTTTCGAAATCTTCATTTTTTTGTATTTTTTCTTCACAATATGCTGATGCGTCACATTGCGATTTTTTTTTGGCGATTTTGACGACAGCTCAACCCAGCGGATAGTTGATGAAGACAGCCACTCAAGTTCATAAGGCGCTCAAACGATCAATATTACTTGAGCTTTATATCAACATCAAAGCACTAATTTCGTCGTTTTCTCTAATAGTTCACACGCGCAAACACTTAATTCACAAAATCGCATCACTTTTACGATTTAAAATCCACTTCAAACCATTATTCAAGCGATAAAACAGGAGCGACAATCCGTCGACGGCCAAGTGCCCGCCAAATACTCTGTCATTTATTTACGATTTGGCGGCAAATGAAAATTGTCTGTGTCATGTCAGTATGAATATAACGCGAGGAAATTTTCATACAACAAATTTTTATGACTTTCGATGTCATTTAAGTCAACAAGAAAGTTATGATAGACTTCGATTGGCCTTTCATGATGAAGCCCCATCTCGTGCCACAGTTTACAACTGGTTTTCATTACAGCCCTTCACAAGTCCACTGTTGAACATAGGCCTCCAACTCTCGTGCCACAGTTTACAACTGGTTTAGTGAGTTTATACGTGGTCGCACTATTCTTACCGATGATCTACGTGAGGGACGGCTTTCTATGGCGATGACTGAAAATAATTATCAGCAGATTCGGACAAGCTTTGGCATCGGTATTAGTCAAGTGCACAAAATTCTTCATGAAAATTTAGCGGTCAGGAAGCTTTGTGCCCGGTGGTTAACTCATAATTTAACACATTCCCAAAAACCCCGTCGAGTGGATTGGTGTCGGGAAATGGTTCAAAGATTTAACGGAGGTGACTCAAATGTGTGGCCGGTGAGGAAAAGGGGAGATCTCCCGCCGGGCAAGGTGTTATGCCCGGGGAGCGGCCAACACTCCGAGTGATAGTTCGGGGAAGTTCTATATATACTGTCTATGATTCGGAATGTTAATAGCGGGATTTGGGCTTCGGTGTGTTTCGGTGTGCTAGTGGCGCGACGACAGCGCTTTGTTGGCGAGCTACAAATGCCTGTGTGGGTGGGTGGGGGAGAAGGATGGGGGGGGGGGGGGGGGGGGGCCCGCTAATAGCATTATTATTCGTGCTGATACCTTGTGAGCTGATGGCTTGCAGATATGAAGACGAGACATATTTGCGGGTGACTGCCGAAAGCGGGATTATATATGTTATGATGTGTTAATAGCGCGATTGGCTTCGGGGGATAAGAGACGGTCTGCTGTCTGGGTGTTTCCTTCCGAGGAGTTGCCAATCAAAGTGAAGAGAGGTCGAAGCGTGGGAAAAAAAGATTGTGACCTCTTACTTCGAAAGGACAAGTCGTTACGCAACAATTGTTTTAGAGGATCGAAAAACAGTTACTGCAGAGTGGTACACTAACAACTGTTTGCCACTTGTCTTGGAAAAAGTTCGGGAGAAATGCAGTAGGATCCTCCTTCACCACGACAACGCCTCGTCGCACACCGCCAAGCAAACAATCGACTACTTGGCGACGTCAGACGTGGAATTACTGGGTCACCCGCCCTATAGCCCCGACCTTGCGATTTTTATTTATTTCCGAAAATAAAAGAAAAACTTCGAGAAAAACTTTTTTTGGACGCTGAGGAAACAGCGGCTGCGTTTCAAAATGCCGTCGAAGATACGCTATAGGGTTTGTAGACAAAACTGCGATGCGACGTCGCATCGTAAAAATTTACGAGCTCCCTCGACGCATCGCAAGAACTTGCGAATTGATTCGCATCGCGCATTCCTGCGATGTTACGTCACACTTGCTGACGCCATTTTTAGTTCGCTCTGAGACAGCGTGTGGGCAAGACGTATACTTTAAAATAAAAAAATGACAGAGTACGACGTTGATTTTTTAATATCACTGATTGAGGAGCGCCCTGTTCTTTGGGACACTAGTAACGAAGATTATAAAAATAAATTCATCAAACAAGAAGCGTTTAGCGTAAAATTTCCAAATTTTGAGGAAAAAGAAAACAATGAAAAAACTAAACTTGGTAAGTAGACAAATACATTTATTACAACTTCTTTTTAATTTTTAATTAAACTACTTACAAATCAAACATTATATATATAATCACAAAAAATATTCTTTAAATTGTTTACAAATGTTTTCGCATCGAGAGCGAGTCACTTTTTTGTCTTTGCGGTGTGATCCTTTTGTACCTGTTCTATTCATAATTCATAATTATTTATTTGCATAGATGTAGGTAGATATTACAATAGTATTATTAAATATGAGTTCCTATCAGTGCAAATTTTGACTAATTTATAACATATGACATTACTTCGGTTAGAAAGCGAGCAACATGCAAGCGGCATTGTATATTCTCAAATTTTTTGTAGTTGCCAGCTTAATGCCCCCACTTCACTAGTAAAGTAATCCGAATATTCGTTTCTTATTATATTTGCACTTACTACCTGACTACCTGCATCCAAACGTTGTTGGAGTGGTAGTAGTTCATCTATGACCATTTCAACAGGGGTTTCTAATCCATCACGGTTAAGTACAAAGTTATGTAATATGCAACAAGCCTTGACAATGTCAAAATTATATGAGACGTTAATGGGCCGGTGAAATATTCGCCACTTATTGGCCAGTATACCGAAAGTACACTCGACATATCTTCTTGCCCTACTCAAACGGTAGTTGAATACTCTTTGTTTAACAGACAAATGCTTACCCGAATAAGGGCGCATGACATTATTCGAAATAGAAAAAGCTTCGTCTCCGACAAAAACAAATGGAACCGGTTCTTGAAAGCGCGGTAACGGCCTCGATATTGGTGTAGGCAAATCCCCTCTCATCAGTAAGACATACAGTTTCGTGTTATGGAAAATAGTGGAGTCGCTTTCCTTTCCATATGCTCCTATGTCCACATAGATGAATCTGTATTCCGAGTCAACAATAGCCAACAAAACTATTGAATTGTAGCTGTAATTAAAAAAAGTGATCCACTGTTTGGGGGACTACGAATACGAATATGTTTCCCATCAACGGCTCCAATACAGTTAGGGAAGTTGGCTTTCTTGTCAAAGCCTGCAGAAATTTCTTCAAGCAGCTGTTGCGTTATTTTTGGTATGTTTGCATTTAAACAATGTTTCCATATTGCGCTGCAAACTAATCGCATTATCTTAGCAACTGTACTTACTCCTCGATAATAATTAAAATGTATATTTCTGATTTCATTTCCGGTTGCTAGGAATCTGTAACATAAATAGAAAAAAAATAGGATTAATTTATATAACAAACTTGAAAAGTAAAGAATACTAACCTAAAACGACATAAACATACATATATTATAATAATATTCTTGGCCTATTCACCCCGCCATCTACTCCCAAACTAAGCTAAGCTTGTACTATGAGTGCTAGTTAATTGATAAATACATTTTTTTTGGTAAATAAATACATATTATATATTATATAAACACCCAGACTCAATACAACTTTTTTTTTCTTGACGTCGTTTCAATGATATGTCGCTATGTATATTACCGTAGTGCTTGGATGATTAAAATTCGTTGTTATGCGAATGATCGACAAAATATTCAAATAATCGGTAAAAATTTTCAAATAATCGAATCATTAATTTTTTTTAATGTATTATTTGTTTAATTTAATTTTTATTTTCAAAATTCCTCAAATTACATGAATCATGAATAAAACAAGTTTATTTTTTTTACTTTGTCAAAGTAAATTTGTGTAGGCAAAAAAATCATATACAAGGCCGTGCTAAACAAACCACTACATAATTTCAATATCCCGCCATTTCGGTACCAGTTACTCGACTCCACAGAGTCAGTATTCATTCTTGGGGCGATGAATACGCTTTTACAACAAAATCCCAGAAAATATACAAAATTTGACGTAAGTACACATAGTTTAAATACTTTATTAAACTAAGTTTGTATAAAAAGGGTTATTTTAATATTAAGGAATTTATGGATGATAATAACTCCTGGAAAGGGTGATCGCTACCAAGCTATTTCTAATTTGTTTTGTGTTGTTAATTGTAACACGCATGATTGTAAGCTCTTATTTTTTTTAAACTAGTCCCGTTGGGTTTATTGCTGGTTCTTCCCAGGACAAAGGTTTTTTTTTTGCGAACGAGTGGTAAATGAAAAAAGTGACTTTTAATAAGTATTATTCATAATCTATATTGAATAAAAAAGTTTCTGTTTCTGTTTCCAGAGCCTTGTGCGTAATTTTGTGATTTTTTGTTTGTCTTCTCATTTTGTGACTCGGTTTTAACTTTTTGGACTGTTTCTTCTATAATAACTTTTTGTACGTGGTAGAGCCACGCTACATCTATATTATAGTTGTAGCACGAATGGGTCGGCTCAACCGGGGCAGGACCACGCTCTCACAGAATACCAGCGTAAAATAGTAGCGTAATGCTGCTGTGTTTCGTATAGTGAGTGTAGAAACCGGAGAACATTCAATTCAACAAAGAGGAAAACAACGGAAATCGAGGCATTCCATCTTAAGCCTCTGAGGTGACAACGCATTTGCATTTTGATTCTTAATTAAGAATAAATATGTATGTCTAGGGGGCATAGCATCCACTTAACATCAGGTGGACGGTGTGCTCGTTTGTCACCCAATGCTATAAAAAAATATTCTTTGAAGCATGTGCCCATGTCACAAAGGATGATTGGGCAAAAGTGGTAGAAAAAACAAAAAAAATATTATGGATGACTTTGAAAGAGACTTTAATTTTGTCTGCATTATTGAAAATCTAATAATAATTAATATAACCAACGATATATCTACTAATTTTACTGAAAGTGATTGAATATATTTATTTTCAATCCAGTTTCAATCTTAGATTTTTATAACTGTGTGTGATAAATCTTTAAATTAAGTTTTAAATTATCCGTTTTAAATGTATTCTGGTATTATTCAAACCATACTAAATGATTACCGTTTCTAAATAATCGATATCGATTTTTTAAAGAATCGAACATTGTACGTTCCCATTTTTTGGTTGGCATGCTTGGTGCAATAAATCTGACAGCTGTCAAAATGTATTTCATAGATTTGGTTGACTATAAGAAAAATTTACAAAATGAGACCACTACCAGTATAAATGAAACAGAAAATGAGCAAGATAATCAAGAAGGTACATCTGAAAAACGTTACCAAAAGCAGCCAACAAAAAGAAAGATGGTTAGTAATAATTTTGAAGATGATATTATAAAGATTTTAAAGGAACCGGAGAATAGACACATATCTTTTTTTAAAGGTATTCTACCATCACTTGAAAGATTAGATGACAATAAAACACTAATCTTTCAAAGCAGAGTTCTTCAAATTTTAACAGAATTGCATCAACCTCATGGCTACTACTATCCGAATAGCAACTACCAGGGTGGCTATGAAACTCAACATTTTGTAACATCTCAACAAACGCCACTGATACGTCCACAATCATCTAACATACCAGATCAAATTGATTCACCTAGTAATGATTTTTCTAACTCAAGCATATTAAGCACACTTTCAACGGAAGAAGAGTTTGATTTTTCGTAAATTTTATCGATTGTAATATTTGGAAAACTCTTTTCTCAATAAATACTAATGTGAACAATTATTGTTTTACTTTACTTACCGGATAGTGAGGCCAATCATTTCCAGAGGCATAACAGGAATTCTCTCCTTGTACGATCGTTTCTGAAGATATGGTGATAATAAACTTAAAAGCTTTTCAAATGAAGATATGCTCATTCTAAAATAATCAAAAAAAAAATTTTTCGTCCTTCATATTTTAGATGAAAATAGTTACCATCGGCATTCATAACAGTAATAAATGGATGAACCCAAAATCTTCTTTGTTTCTTTTTCCTGTATCTCCTTAGCAATAACAAAAGGGCACACTTCTTTTTACGATCCATGTCACGAGCTAGTTTTCAAAATACGTTCAGTACGGTTGACGGTCGTCGAAGGAATGGTCACCCTAATCGTGGAAGGAAGACGCCTTACCGCACGAAATCGCATCGCAGCAATTCGTGTCTCAATTTTCTGCGTTGCGAATTCGCATCGCGTCGCATCGCAGTATTGTGTACAAGCCCATAATAATGTAGTATTCGTTCTGTAAACGTCGTTGCTGTTGCGTGCCACTTGTGCCGCGTTGCTGCCACACGGTACTCATATTCCATAATCACTCGAATTTTTAACGTATCCACGATGACGAAAAAGATTCAAATGTAATGAAAACAACGCTAATCAATAACTAAATGACTAATTTTGAAAAAAAAACCTACGTATTTAAAATAAAATTAATTTGAAATTAGAATTCTTAGCCAAACAAAAATTATTTTGATTCTATTTTCTCTACTTCCCAGTCTGTAATAAATTACTGTATTATAAAAATATAAATATAGATATAGAGTTTGGGTGGCACGTGTAAAACCTACATTCTGCGACTTGAAAGAGCGCAAAGATCGTTGCTTAAAACCATGACCTTTAAGTCGTATAGATTCCGAACTAGAACACTCTGTAGTAATTCTCAAATTCTTACTGTTCGGCAGTTATACATTTTACAACTTATTTATGCAGACAACATCTTGCGATAAAAACAAAGTAGAAGAAAAACGTATAATAATTAATATGTTAACTCCAACCACTTCCGCACGTCCTTTGCCAGGCGCCAACATGTTTATCTTAGTGTACATTTATATAATAAAATAAACAAAATTCTAAACTTTTATCCACTCTCTCTGTACAAATTTAAAAATGGCTTTTATCATTAAATTGTGAAGAAACAGAGGACTTATTTAAGAGAGAGAGAGAGAGAAAGAAAGAGAGAGAGACACACAGATACATTACACATTTGACTATTCTTATTCCGTTTGAAACATTATTGTTAATTGAATTTTTGAAATTGTTAACTTAAGTCATAAATTTGGGAGAAGGGGCTGATTGCTGAGATACAGGTATAAATTCCTAGTTCAGTAATCAGATACTTCACATATTCACTGTGTACGGTGAAACATACTTATTTCATGCCAACTTAGCAGTGTTAATAACACAGCACATTAACGCGCCAGTACTCGGCGAGCAGTGCACTTCAAGCATTCATATCAAGCAGTCTTTTACTTTATCATTTATAATATCATATCAAATATATCATAGCAACTTTATATCATTTAAATCATACATCATCAAGTGTGGGATATACACACACTGTATAATTTTATCAATAAAGATTATTATATATTTCGATTTGAAATGGCCAGTACTCCATAACGGCAATTTCATAGATAAACCTATTGTTACGAGCTTGAGGTTCGTGACAATAAAAATTGCCGATAGAATTACTAAAATTAACACTTTAATTCACTGATTCACTTTATTTCGCTCCGAAGCTTCGCTTGTCTCGCCAAATTCAATACTGCCCCGATCGTGGCATGCAGCGGGTTTAAATACACTTTTTCACCAAAACATCCAGAATATTCAAGTAAATACGCGCGCCAACCGACCAGGCGCCGAAAGTTCGAGTGTGGGGGCTTCTAGAAAGCTTAGTTCTTCAATTCGATACTAGATGACGCTGTTTGACGAAAGATTAGTCATGTCATTTTCTGGAAAGCTCTCCTCGCTCTGTTACCCGACACTAGATGGCGCTAGTACCAGACGTCAACTTAGGCGCGCAACACTGTCCCCTCCTAAGACATGCTCGTCCCGAGCATTATCGGCCCCATAATAACGCGCCAGGCGATCTACATGGATGATCTTAGGAGTCCCTCTTGCGCCTTTCTGTATCCGGAGGTTACATCGTTGATCCTGGTTACCATCCGGTACGAGCCGTCCCATTTAGCTTGAAGCTTAGGAGATTTCCCTTTGCTGCGGACTGGATTGTGCAACCACACTAGTGAACCTTCGTCGAACCCTTTGTTGTTCATTTTTCGGTCATACCGTGTTTTCATCTTTTTATACATTTGCTGGCCCGATTGTCTGACGTGCTCATAAATGTCATTCATTTAGTTTCGCAAGTCATTTGCATAATCGGTTATACTGCGTGGGGCATCAGGTGGTATCCCGGTGATCAGGTCTGCAGGCAGCCGTAATTCTCTTCCAAAGTTTGCGAAAGCTGGTGTCACTGATGTACTTTCGTGAACAGCGCTTCGATATGACAACAAAAACAGTTGTATGTGCTTGTCCCAATCTCGTTGCCGATTGTCTACAACTTTTGCTGGGTACCTCTCCAATGTTTGATTAAATCGTTCTACCATTCAATCAGATTGCGGGTGATAAGAAGTCGTTCTTGTTTTATGAGTACCCATAACTCGGCAAGTTTCCTGGAATATTTGAGACTCAAAATTCCTTCCTTGATCGCTGTGAATCTCTAAAGGTACTCCAAAACGACAGAAGACTTCATGAACTAGTTTATCTGCAACTGTTGAAGCTTCTTGATTTGAAATGGCGAAGACTTCTGGCCACTTAGTGAAGTAATCCATCACAACCATGAAATACTTGTTACCGCCTTCACTCTCCGGAAACGGCCCCGCCACGTCAATGGCTATTCTCTCCCATTGTGCACCAACATTGTACAACTTAAATGCACCTCTACTACGAGTCTGAGGTCCCTTTACAGCCGCACAACTTGTACATTTGCGACATCAGTCCTCGACATAGTTTCGACAGTGGACCCAGTAAAACCATTCTCGGATCTTCAGTAGAGTTCGTTTAACTCCCAGATGGGCTCCTGAACAATCATTATGGTACAGCTGTAGAACATCCGGTACTCTAGTTTTAGGGACGACCATTTGCTAATGACAGCTGTCTCCCCGAACATTTTCCCATTTACGGCACTGAACACCATCCTGAAGCAGCAAGCTGTCCCATTGGGACGTCGCTTCACTTGGGCTTGGGAGCACTGGTCTTCATCCATTCCAGAATCGGCTTGATGTCCGGATCTTCCTGCTGTGCATGTAGTAAGCTGTCCTTCCACTCGTTGCTGAGGTGGTCTGTCCTGAGCCTCCTCACGGATACCACTTCCTTACTCTCTTGCCTAGTACAATGGTTGCAATCTTCAGGACAAGGTCTTCTTGACAATGCATCTGCGTTGCCGTGAGATTTCCCGCTGCGATGTTCGATCTCAATCCGTCGTATTCTTGCAGTAGTTCAATCCACCTCGCAACTTGTCCTTCTGGATTTTTAAACTGTAATAGCCATTTTAGTGCAGCATGGTTTTTTTTAAGCTATTGCATAGCTTCTATCGCGGGCCTTGAGCGCGGGGACCGAATCCAGAAATTACGTAACGAAAAAAACTCCGACGGGCACGGAGGTGTGGCGTTGAAAGCCGTGCATCGTCTAAACGTCGTTTTAGTTCGGCAGACTTCGGCACTCGGCAGACTTCGGCACGGTGTTTGTGTGCGTGTACACTAGCTGCTAACTCAATGATAAAAATTCCTGAATAACCTACATGTATTGTAAGATATTAAAAATATTTTAAACAATATTAACTTCTCATTTATTTAATAAGAGAAAAAAAATTGTTTTCTTATCGGTCACCACGCTCAAAAAGTGTAACTTGATTTAATATCAAAGACTTAACTGCATAAATAAAATAAATAAATAATTATAATTGCATAAGTAGATAAAAAATGCTATGCAATAGCTTTACCGCGGCAGTCACCGAGTGCCACACGTATTTTTTTATAGGATAGGTGACAAACGAGCACACAGTCCACCTGATGGTAAGTGGTTGCTGTGGCCCATAGACATCTACATCTATCCTCGATTACGAATCAAAATGCAGATGCGTTGTCACCCGTGAGGACATCCATCTTAGGAATGCCTCGTTTCCAGTAAAAAGGGTCTCCGGTTCTCTACACTCACCATACGAAATACAGCAGCATTAAGCTACTATTTCACGCTGGTATACTGTGAGAGCGTGGTCCTTCCCCGGTCGAGCCGACCCATTCGTGCTACAACTATACTACTAATATAACTGCAGAATGGCTCTTCCACGTATAAAATGGTCAGTTCGTAAGTGAAATTTCCGTCCCAGAAGATATTTGCTAAAACGCTGCAACGACTTTACCACAGCTAGCAATTCGCGTCTTGTGACACAATAGTTCCTTTCCGGTTTTGACAACGACTTGCTGAAGTACGCTATCACAACCTCTCGATCACCGTTCCGTTGAGACAACACACCGCCGAGTCCTGTATCACTTGCGTCTGTGTCAACTATAAATTCTTTGCTTGCATCACGGTATCCCAAAATAGGTGTTTTGCACAGACGGTCCTTGAGCTCCTGGAATGCGATATTGCAACTTTCATCCCAGCAGAAATGTCGCTTCTCCTCGGTAAGCTAGTGCAGAGGTTTGGCTATATCTGCAAAGTTCTTCACAAATCCGGTAATAGGAGCACAAACCCAAAAATGCTCTAACCTTCTTCTTGTTTTTTGGAACCGGCCAATCCTTGACAGCGGCAATTTTCTCTGAATCCGTGCGTATACCTTCTTCCGATACTACATACCTCAAAAAGTTAACTCGCCGTTTGAATATTGAACATTTCTTCGGACTCAACTTGAGGTTGGCACTCTAAATGTTCATGAGCACGCGTTCCAGGTTTTGAAGGTGTTCCTCAAACGTACGGCCTACGATGATGATTTCATCCAAGTAGACCAGACAGGCATCGCCAATTAGCCCGGTAAGTACAAGTTCTATCAGCCTTTCAAACGTTGCTGGAGCATTGCACAACCCAAACGGCATTACTTTAAATTGCCACAGACCCTTTCCCGTCGAGAACGCAGTTTTCTCCTTGTCCTTAGGGTCAATTTCAACTTGCCAGTAGCCACTTTTTAGATCCAGCGTGCTAAACCACTTTACTCCTGTAAGCATGTCCAGCGTGTCATCAATTCTTGGCAAGGGATAGCTGTCATTCTTCGTAACGTCGTTCAGACGGCGGTAGTCAACACCAAACCGCATGCTGCCTTCCTTCTTCTTTACCAGCACCACTGGTGAACACCATGGACTAGAGGAAGGTTCAATAACACCATCCTTCACCATTCCTTCAATCATGGTTTCCACTTCCTTTTCACGTGCTACCGGCAATCTTCTTGGCCGCTGACGGATAGGCAATTCTTCTCCTGTGTTTATTTTGTGTTGAACTAAGCCAGTCTTTCCTATGTTAGCATCGTTTAATGAGAATACATCGGCATACATGAGTAACAACTTCTTCGTCTTGACCATTTCGGTCGGGGAGGGAACGCTGCGACAGTCTTCCAAAAGTGTGGTCACTCTCGTTTGTGCGTCCTTGCTGGAAGTCTCACTCGATAGATATTGGCACCGAAATAACCAATCCACTTCTTCACAAGTACAAACCAGCGTGCCTTTTTCTATAATCTGTTCCCGGTCACAAAGGTTCAGCACACGTACTCCTGAGATGTCAGTGGTTCTGACCAAGGTACGAGCTACTTTCCATGGAAGGTCATTGTTTACCCTTTCCACAAGTACACAACGGTGAGCTTGCCCAGCGTTTCGAGGAAGACTAACCGGCACAATCGTTTCCGATCTCGGCGGAAGAACAATCTTCTTAATGCTGTACACGTTCCCTGGTAACGCACCTTCCATAAAAAGTTCCTCCTGTCCACATTTCAAAACACCTTGCTTAACATCGATCTCACAACAGTTATTCCCCATCAAGTCTAAGCCCAGGATGCAGTCGTCCATTATATCAGCCACGATGACATTATGCAGGTAGATCACGTTGCCTAGCTTCAACTCCATCTCCTTCTCTCCACGGACGGGTATACGCTGACCGGTGGCATAAACATACATAAATATATAAACACTCACGCCTGTCACCCAGAGGGGTAGACTACAGACTTCCATTTAGCACGATCCTGACATACCTTTCTCGCCTCTTCCACATCCATATACCTACGCATACATGCTCGTCGGTTAAGGGTACTCTTAATTTTGCCCATTTTTAGTATATCGCCCATTTGGTCGACAAACTTCCGCCTAGGACGTCCCTTTCCGATTCTTCCATTCACTTCTGCAACATTATTTGCTTTGTCAGTCTTTCCGCATTCATTCTTTCTACATGACCAAACCACCGAAGCATTCCTTTCTTAAACCTGGTCACCGCATCATCTTGCAAACCACACTCTTCTTCTTTCGGTTGTATTCGGAGTCCCCAAGGAACTGACTTATAAGTTGGGAACTAACAACCGTACGAGAGGCTCCAGTGTCTATGGTCAGTTTACACGGCATTCCGTTGACCTCGCCCTTGATGATTAGACTGTTCCCATCATGTGTTTGTGAGATCGAGAACCTTGGGGCACTTTTAACATCAGCCAGCACCCGCCCCGCAGTTCTGGCTTTTACTCGTTTCCCTGCTGCTGCTGGGCGGTGCTGTGGGGCGCACTACCCTACTGAGATCGTTCACCTTCCTTCGATCCAGCGAATAAGCGAACCCTAGTTCGCTTATTCGCTGAATCGAAGATGGCCCTTTTCCCCACAGCCATAGCACCTAGGGCTGTATCCTTTGTTGCGGTCGCGAACTGTAGCTGCTGCAACCTCCCTGACGCGATGGGAACGATGATCCTGCCGCACGGCTTTCACCTCCAGTGCATGGGCCAAGGCGTCCTTAAGCATCTTGTGGTGCCCGAGCCTCACAGCAGCTCTGACTTCCAGGTCGCGGATGCCGTCGATGAATGTCTGCACAATGTTTCCTTCAATCAGCGTAGGTACTGATCGGTATGCTTTTCGCACCAGCTTCTCCACCTCTAGAGCCCACTGCTGCAGGTTTTCGTTGATACGCTGCACGCGATCTTTAAGCTGCGCACGAAAGACGTGTTCCACGTGAGCGTCGCCTTATCTCGCCTCCAATGCCTCAAGGAGTTGCTCATAAGTCACTTCCTCAACAAGAGCTTCCAGAACTGTTAAGGCCTGGTCACGCAGGCCTAGTGTGAGAGAAGTCATGGCCTGACTTTTATTCCAGCCGTTCGCCTTCATAACAGCCTCGAACTGGATTTTGTAGGCTGACCAGGAAGAAGTCCCGTCGAACGGTGGCACTTTGAACCCACGTAGCGAAGGTGTAGTAGCTACTGCGGGAGCTGTAGTTCCATCCCCCAGTTTGAGGTCGTCCAGCGTTTTCTTCACGTCAGCCATCACGTAATCAACCCGATTGTTCACTTGGTCGATTTGGGTTTTAGCTTCCTTGATTTGTGTTTCCGCTTCCGACAGGCGGTTGTCATGTTGAGCAACCCTATCCTTCACCTCCCTTATCTCTTTCCCGAAGTTGGCGTCAATGTCCTTCACGAGGAGCATCTGCTCTTCCTGTCGGCGGGCCTGTTCCTCCTGCTGATCTTTCAACCAACAGGCCTATTCCTCTTGTCCGCCCCGCAGCTGCTTTTCTAAACGACGGACCTGTTCCTCCTGTCGGCGGGCCTGTTCCTGCAGCATCACCATCAGAGCACTTAAGTCAGGTGCTGCAGGTGTAGGAGCTGCTGACGGGCAAGCCTCCGTGGCTGGCTCTTGGCCCTCTGACGTCTGCGGCGTTGCACCACCAAATCATCTCTGGTCCGTCTCCTGCTGGCGTTGACTTCGGTTACGGACACCGTTAGTCCTTAGGTAAAATCGGCATGATTATATCCCACTTCTGACACCAATTGTTATGAGCTTGAGGTTCGTGACAATAAAAATTGCCGATAGAATTACCAAAATTAACACTTTAATTCACTTTACACTAATTAAAACTTAAAAGACACTAATAATTAATCATACTGATTCACTTTATTTCGCTCCAAAGCTTCGCTGGTCTCGCCAAATTCAATACTGCCCCGATCGTGGCATGCAGCGGGTTTAAATACACTTTTTCACCGAAAACTCACACTTTCACAGAATATTCAATTAAATACGTGCGTGAATCGAACAGACGCCGAAAGATCGAGTGTGGGGGCTTCTAGAAAGCTTAGTTCTTCAATTCGATACTAGATGGCGCTGTTGGTTGAAAGATTAGTCATGTCATTTTCTGGAAAGCTCTCCTCGCTCTATTACCCGACACTAGATGGCGAATGCCAGACGTCAACTTAGGCGCGCAACATTATTATATATCTGTACGGGATGAAGTTATCGCTTTAGCATTCACAAGTAAGTAATTCAAAAAGTAAAAGGCGACAGAGCGATATAAAAGAGAATGTGGGCAGCAGTATTGATAATTGACGACGGGGCAACGAGCATGCGGCTCACCTGATGGTCACCGCCGCCTCGTGCCTCGTGCTGCCAGGCGCGAGAGCGAGCAGCGCGCGCCGACGCGCAAGAGGTTCTGCTTTGCGAGCTGACTGAGGAAATGCGGCTTGCGTGGTGGAGCAGAGTGCACGCGTAAAATATTGCGGTTGGCAACAAGTTAGCAAAGCGAAGCAATTACGGCGATTATCCTCCCAACGAGTGAAGCTATGTGGGAGATCTATATTTAGCAGAGACTAGTAGTAGACTGTAATGGAATGGTAAACTAATGTAGCCTATAAAATGTTTGATTTGGTGGTGCAGTTGGGGGACGGCGCGTCGCCCCTGGAGGTGCTAGTGCGGCACGATGCGGCGGGCGCGGTGCGGCTGCTGGAGCAGAGCGCGCGCGAGCCGCCCTTCGCCGGCCCGCTTGCTAAGCAGAACCGCCTGCGCGTCGCCCGCGCGCTGCTCGCTCTCACGCCCGGTGCTCGGTACATGCCACGTAGCGCACCTAGCTGCTAACACTCGGCACAAGCGGCAGCGCGATCGGCTGCTGGAGCAGGCGGAGCCGCCCTTTGCTGGCTCGCGCCCTCTGCTCAACGGCATCGCGCTGCTGTGCGGTTGTGGTTAGCAGCCCCTGGAGGTGCTAGTGCGGCACGATGCGGCGGGCGCGGTGCGGCTGCTGGGCAGAGCGCGCGCGAGCCGCCCTTCGCCGGCCCGCTTGCTAAGCAGACCGTCGCTGCGCGTCGCCCGCGCGCTGCTCGCTCTCACGCCCGGTGCACAGGTACATGCCACGTAGCGCACCTAGCTGCTAACACTCGGCACAAGGCTGCAGCGCGATGCGGCTGCTGGAGCAGAGGGCGCGCGAGCCGCCCTTTGCTGGCTCGCTCGCCAAGCAGACCCCCTGCGCGTTTCCCGCGCGCTGCTCGCTCTCACGCCCGGCGCACAGGTACACGCCACGTAGCGCACCTAGCTGCTAACGCTCGGCACGAGGCGGCGGGTGCGGTGCGGCTGCTGGAGCAGAGTTTTTCATTTACATTAGTCCAAAGTTCACGCAAACAAAGCTTTCCTATAGTTTTTATTATTATCATCATCATCATCATTACAGCCCTTCACAAGTCCACTGCTAAACATAGGCTTCCCCCAAGAAATGCCACAAAGCACGGTCCTGAGCCACTTGTATCCATCGACTTCCTGCATGTCTCACCAGGTAGTCACTCCGTCTAGTGGGGGGTCGCCCTACACTGCGCCTACCGGTACGAGGCTGCCACTCGAGAACCTTTTTTCCCCAACGGTTGTCGGTTCTTTGAGTTATATGGCCAGCCCAGGGCCACTTCAGCTTACTAATCCGTTGGGCTGTCGGTCACTCTGGTTTTACTGCGGATATCCTCATTTCTAAGTTTATCACGCAGAGAAACCCCGAGCATAGCTCTCTCCATAGCTCGCTGAGCGACCTTGAGCGTCTTCATACGGCCAACAATGAAGGACCATGTCTTAGATCCGTAAGTCATCACTGGCAACACGCACTGGTTGTACAATCTAGTTTTCAGGTTTTGAGGTATACCTGACGAGAAATGTGTTGTCCCGAACGCTGCCCAGCCGAGTTGAATCCGTCGATTGACCTCTCGGTCGAAGTTAGACTTACCTAGTCGGACTATTTGTCCCAGGTATACATACTCATCAACAACTTCGAGCGTAATGCTCCCAAAAACTACCGGCTTAGGTGTGACATGGACATTAAACATTATCTTTGTTTTGTCCATGTTCATCTTAATATCTATCCGTTGGGAGACACTATTGAGATTATTGAGCATAGTGCTTAGGTCCTTCAGCGATTCTGCGATAAGGACTATATCGTCGGCTAATCGAAGGTGAGTGATGTACTCACCATTGATGTTACCATATCCTTTCCAGTCCAGTAGCTTGAAAACGTCTTCCAATGCAGCAGTGAAGAGTTTCGGGGATATGACGGTCACCCTGTCATACACCTCTCTGCAGTTGGATAGGTTTCGAACTCTGGTTCTGTACTCGGATAGCCATTGTAGCCCTACTGTACAAACACTTCAGCACTTCGATATACCGACAGTCAACTTGTCACCACTGAAGGGACTGCACCGCCCAAATTTCAAAGGAATGGAAGGCTTTTTCGTAGTTCACATACGCCGGACAAACTAGCAGATTGTACTCTTCGGTCTTCTGTACAATTTGCCGCAGGGTATGTATCTGGCCTATGGTACTGAGCCCTTTCGGAAACGGCCTTGTTCGGGAGGCTGGAGGTCGTCAAGTCTGCGTGAGAGACGATTCGTAATGACTCTCGAAAACAGCACGTAGACGCAGTTCAGAAGGGAAATCGGTCTGTAGTTCTTCAAGAGAGCGTTGTCGCCTTTCTTGAAGAACAAGACCACCGAACTTCTGCTCCACGCCTCCGGAGTAGTGCCGCCATGGATAAAGGAATTGAAGAGCTTCTGAAGGACTTTAAGTACCGGTGTTCCACCCGCTTTCAGAAGCTCCGCTGTAATTCCATCCTCGCCTGAGGCCTTGTCGTTTTTAAGGTGCTGGAGAGCCATTCTAATCTCGCTCAGACTGACGTCCGTGATATCATCGGAATAGTGTCTGATACGACTTGCTATTAGATCGTTACTCTCACTTGAGTGTGGCTCCAACGATGATGTGTACAGCTGCCTATAGAACCTCTCAATCTCACTCAAAATCTCAGGTGTCCCGGAAACGATGCTGCCACACTCAGTCTTCAGCTATGACAGTTCGCTCTTTCTAGAAGACAGATCTCTGGCAAAGACTTTGGAACCCTGGTTGCGCTCGATCGCTTCTTCAATAGGAGCAGTATTTAAGTTGCGTAAGTCCTGCCGCATGCATTTGCAGATCTATCTGTTCAGTTGCCTGTATGCTGTCAAATCAGCTCACGACTGCAGCTTCATATCCCGTCTACCAGCCATGAGATTAAGAGTGTGATCGGAGTTTTTGTTTTCCTCTGCTGCGGGTGTGGCAGAACTTAGCTCCGAATGCACGGACAGTTTCCACGAGTTTGTCATTCATATCGTTCTTCTAGGCACTGAAAACAGTTTTGTAACTCGAGCTGAAAGGTTTCGGGATTTTGGATTAATTAAAGCAAGAGACGAGACCTCTCCAAGTTAACGTTTAGGTTCAGTGTGCCTCTAACCATTCGATGCGTTCACTGAGACATCATTGAACAGATGACGTCTAGTCGTCTATTATTATACTTAATTGAAATTAAAAATGTTAAATCAATTAGCGTAGGTTCCATTTATTTATTTTATTTTATTTGGAACACCAACAGCATATAAACGTTACATGAATACAAATTGGACATTTCGACAAAGCCATTTACAGGTATTCGCATATGGTTATTTAAATGTAAAGAGGCCATGTGAACAATAACAGGCCATGTAAAAAAACAATTCTAAATCGAATCACTTCTACTCCCAATAAACTCTAACTTCTACATTAGGAAATACACAGCACCAGCGGTAACTCTTACACTGTGATGTGATGACTGAAAGAATACACAGCACCAGCGGTAACTCTTACACTGTGATGTGATGACTGAACCATTTAATCTAAATGCAAGTTACTTGGACTTAACAAAGTCTACTGTCACATGACAAGGCTTCATTTAAAGGCGAAATCGTATTATCTTGGTGTGTTTCTGAGGTTAGCATTAGTGATGGCAATGATGGACGCGATTGTGTTGGGGAAGAGGAGATGCTTCTTGAAACTAAATAATACACATTACACCTCATTTTTTTTTGTATGCGGATCTTAGCGTATTAATTTTTACATCTTTAACATGATAATTTCCGCTAAAAATGATTCTATTAATTAACAAAATGAAAATGATGCTTATATTATGTAATATATATTTAATATTCATTGTTTCAGAACCTTGATTGTCAGATCGAGATACTAGAATTCATTAGCGGTCAGTTGCAATCAGGCGCGCTGCCACTCGATCAGGAAGTTATAAAAGGCGTTCAAGGATTAGCAACAACGATTACTAGCGAACGATCTGATCGCGCTTGGTTAGCTTTAATGAAGCGCCTTCGTTCCCAAAGAGATCATTCGCTTGCTAACTATCAAAGTGCAATACAAAGACCCCGAATACAATGGCATTTAGACGTTCTCCTCGATTGTCACGAGAAATCCATAGAAGAATTCTTCAAAATTGAGAATCCATCCTGTTTGGATATTTCAGAATTTTTCGAATATATACGATCAAGATTCGAAGTAGACGTCAACATAAAAGCTCGCTTACAACCATATCTGCAAACACTTATCAAATTACGTCCGCAAGCGTTGGCGGCTATAGTTAAAGACCATTATGAAAGTTCTATTAGTTCTATATTAAGTTCGTTAGAGAAGGAATACGTTCTGGAATTCGGTGATTGTCTCCTCGATATGGCGTCTCTAAGTGGTGACGCCGCCGCTATTTACTTACGTAATCTATGTGTACTGCGACCCGCAGATGTGAAAAACTTCTTAGAAAATGGTACAGGTATTGTACGTCCGGAAGACGCCCTAGAGATAGTCAAAGAATTCGGTCCACGTGATGCTGTTCCCTTCTGTCTCGAAGCTACTGGCGACCCTTCCGGTGCACTGGATGCGCTTCTAGATATTATAACGTCGAATAACGAAACCAAAGCGAATCACATCGCCGAGGCGTGCGATCTCTGCGTTCGAGTAGCGCCGACCGTTCCGCCCGACGTGTCCGCAGAAATGTGGACGCGATTGCTGCGTCGCGTAGACGAAGTGCCGCCGTCGCTACTGTTCGAGGCTATTGCGTACCTGCCGGTCGACGAGTTGTTGGTTAAAGCGTGTGATTCGCCTAAGGTGGCATTGACGATTTTGGAGAGCGGCGCGGGGAGGATGCGAGTTTGGGCATGTGCGAGGCGGATAGCCGAGCGGGAGGCGCACGGGGCGTTAGCGATGGCTTTAGCGGGGGCTCGTCGCGGCCTGCCCGTGAGAGGGACGTGTCTCCGCTGCGGCGACAGCTTGGCTGCACGAGCCGCCGCCCGCACCGCGCACTGTGCGCGAGCGGTGCACGTCGACTGCGACGCTGAAACCACATGCCAAACGTGCGGTAAACGAATCCCGTCCTCTGTATACATCCTGCCGCCTATAAATAGTCGCCCGATCACGTCAACGCCTCAAGAATATCCCCTGTCGTTGATAGCCCCGCCCAGACCCGACCTTGAAGGCGTTGCGTGAAATATTTACTTTAAATATTGATATTTATTTACTTTATGGATATGTAATATATAGATATATAAACGTATACAAAGAGTTTTATAACCTTAATAAAAATATTCTATATCGTAAAAGTTTTTTCTAACCCTTTAATATATTTTGGAACTGCTTTAATATGACCTATTTTAAAATACGTTGATCTTTTTATTGCATGCTTTAAGCGCAAAGCGCGTATGTATGATGTTCTACTAGGGCCTAAAAATCAAGAATCCGACGTTTTGTCGCATGAAATCGTATCTAACAACCATATTGAACATATAAATGATATAAAAAGCACATTGTCAGTAAGATAAATGATTGTTGATCTTACAATTTTTTTTTAAATCGATTAATTGAAGAAGAATTATCAAGTCCGCATAGAAGGTTAAACACGATAACTTGAAATATCAACTGTTCAATTCAATATATTTTTTAATCTCTTCGTCTATCATGTAGGAAGCCATGAAATGTAAATTATAATAAATGTACGGGTTACCGCACATATTTTATGTAATTTTAATTCAATGACTTGTTTATTTAGGTCACGCAGAAACAATGCATTTGTCACTTGCGAAATCATGTAACTTCCGTATTTTTGCCTATACATCAATTTATAATTCTTTAAAATAAATTCAGTGTTAGATCGACTTTCATTGGGTTTGTTTCGTACACTAACTTTCCCTTGCATCCCATCTGCACTCATTCATCTTATATACTGTATACACCTTACAGTGTTTTTGGTCCTTCGAATAGACAAGATCACATCTGTGGATTTCCGTCGACATTTGCAAAATACAGGTACAGTGGTTCCTACGCTTACGTCACTTTATTTTCTTTGTGGATTTTGTGCGACTGCGAATCGGTTGACTGGCTTCCCAGAAGTGGGTCCCACCAGTTCAATTGAGAAGGCGCAAAAAAGGTCGTACTAGGTTCGCGAAGATATAGAGTGGCCTGGACCGCTGGACAAACATCTGCTACAGCTGCTATCAAAGTGGACAGTTCTCGTCGACATTCGACACAGTGAACAGTGCTAAGACTCAGTGAGCAGTGAACTTGGAGGGTGGAGGGTACCTTTTTTCGTCCTCGGAGTATCACACAGTGAACAAGCATAATGGAGAGTCTACTTCAGCGCCAACAAGAGATTGTTAAAGCGATCAAGAAGATAGAAAGAAACTTCAGCAAGGATTCCGCAACACGCAAGACTCGTAAGTACTTGAACGAGCGACTCGATGCCCTTGATAAACTGTGGGCCGAGTTCCAAGTAAACAACCATAAATTATCCGACTATGAGAATGATACTGATCCTTACTTTAATCGGTTTAAATCAGTACCAACAAGCAAGAACGTACTTTGATACTGTGCGCATCAAGATATCGACCTGCCCCCCTGCACGTGAACCTGTTTCTCCGGCACCAGAAGCGCTGCCTAAGATCGTAGCGACACCGGAGCCGACTCCATCTACGGCTCCACCTAAACTACAGCCGAGAGTCACTCTGCCATCGACGTCAAATGCAACAACGGTCTCGCCTACAGATCGTCGCCAGGTAGATGAATTGGTATCTCTGCAAAGAACCAACTTCAGAGCTTTCCATCGACAAGTGAATAGCTTGCGACTTGACGAGATACGCGACAAGTGGGAGCTGGAAGATGAATTGCGTAACATTCAAACGCGCTGGGCTGCAATCGACGCTTTGCATTTACAAATCGATCACATTCTCCAAGGTTCGGATACGCAGTATAACGATGAGTTTTATGCTTACGAAGACTCGTACAAGAGCATCAAGAAGGCTTTGAATCTCAAGCTCGCTTCTACATTACATCTTCAGCAGTCGACACCCACATATCGACATACCTACATTCACGGGCAAGTATACACAATGGCCTACATTCTATGATCTCTACGTAGAAAGCATCCATAACAATAACTTGCTCACGAAAACCCAGAAGATGCAGCACCTGAAAGGTAAACTACGAGGAGATGCTGAGCGACTTATTCAGCATCTAAACATCTCGGCAGACAACTACAATACAGCGTGGGAATTGCTGACACACAGATATAACAAACCCCAGCTGTTATTTACAAAACAGATTGAGATTTTTCTCAATCAACCCGTCGCTCACAAGCAATCGGCGTACGAAATCAGACGCCTCTACGACACGTCTATGGAATGTATCCACGCCATACAGAACCTCGGTATCGATACAAGTACCTGGGATCCGTTGCTAGTACACCTCATAGCGAAGAAGCTAGATGCTGAAACATACAGCGACTACAAAGAGGCACGAAAATCGCCGCGAGACATACCATCACTTTCTGGGCTAATGGACTTCCTAGAGAGCAAATTCGACGCCTTAGAGCCAATAGGTAAAAAGGAACGAGAGATCTCAACATCATCAAATAGATCTTATCCTCCGAAAATCATCAACAACAAACCATATAAGCCTCAGTTTCAACATGCTGGTGGTCATCGCTATGGAAAATTCCCGAACAGACAATTTCAAGCTGTTGCGACATGCTCGGCAATTTGTCCGATTTGCAACAATAATCACTACCTATACAAATGCAGCAAATTCATCAAGTTTACACCGGACGAGCGGCTAATGGCCGTCAAGAAACACAATAATTGCCCCAATTGTCTGTACGCACACACCGATAACATATGCACGTCGACGAAAAGATGCAAAGTCTGTCAAAAGAGTCATAACACAATGCTACATGACGCATACGCAAATATGAACCTTAATCAACAGACGGTAAACCGGGCGGCCGACGCGCCCGCCGGGTCGTTATCGCACGTGCCTACAGCTCCAGTTACGCAAAGACCTCAAATTTCAACGCGATCCGAAAACATACAACATTGCGTGAATCACGTTGCTAGAGATGACGAAGAGATCCTGTTGACAACATTATCCGTCAGGGTCAAAGCTTCTGACGGGACTTACATCACATTGAGATGTCTTTTAGACCAAGGCTCTCAGATTTCACTCATTTCTGAGAACGCTGCTCAGATGCTGGGCTTGCCTCGACAACGGTACCACGCTTCTGTATCTGGCATTGGAAATGGATCAAAGTACGGCAAGGGAGTCGTCACGCTCGAATGTTAGTCTATCTACCAAGACTATGAGTTTACAACTCAAGCATTAGTCATCAATCACGTCATCAACAATCTGCCAAACATATCGTTCAGTAAGGATTCCTGGCCACACTTGCAGCACATACAGTTAGCGGATCCCGAGTACAACATCTCTAGGCCTATTGATCTGCTACTAGACGCAAGCATATACTCCGAGATCATCATGAGCAGCCTGATCAAAGGTCCTAACATGGCTCCAATAGCTCAACAGACGAGATTGGGCTGGATCCTCTCGGGTAAAAGTGTCACGTTGTGATAACCGACCTATCAGAAATTTCTCAATACTGGGAGCTCGAAGAAATCAGTGACTCAGCTGCTGAATTGACACCTGATGAACAGTACTGTGAGCAATTCTATCAATCTACGACAAGACGCCTACCTGACGGAAGATACGAGGTTGCTCTTCCTATGAAGCCTGGATTCGAACAAGATCTAGGTGAATCAAAGTCAAAGGCGATCGCACAGTTCTATAATTTGGAAAATAAGATGTCCAAAAATGAATCTTTCGCAGAAAGTTACAAACATTTTATGCGAGAATACGAGCAATAAGGTCATATGTCCCCGGTTTCACAACACAGTACATTAGTACATTATTTTCCACATCACGGTGTACTGAAAACTGACTCCACTACGACAAAACTTCGAACAGTTTTCAACGGGTCATCAAAAACATCGAGTGGATTCAGTCTCAATGATTTAATAGAGCGTGTTCCAAACTTACAAAAAGATTTGCAGCATCTCATCTTAGCATGGCGTCAACACAAATACGTCGTAACTGCTGACATCGAAAGGATGTTTCGCCAAATAATGATTCGTGAACCTGATCAGCATTTACAACGCATTATTTGGAGAAGCGCAACTCAAGAGCACCTGAAGGAGTACCAGCTCACAACAGTTACGTATGGTACTAAGGCGGGCTTCGTACCTTGCAATGCGCACCTTGCGACAACTGGCTATGGACGACGTGCACAAGTTCCCCATGGCTGCTGCTGCATTGATGACGTCACTGTACATGGATGACCTTCTTGAAGGTCATGATGACCTCTCAGGCAAAACAGCTACAAAGAGAAATAATCGACATATTGAAGGGCGCCGGCATGAACATCCGAAAGTGGTCCAGTAATGCAAAGGAACTGGTTGAAGACCTGTCAGTTGATCAACTGGACACACCACTCGACTTCAAAGGCCTAGAAACCAGAAAGACCTTGGGCTTACGCTGGATTCCCTCGTCAGACATCTTTGTATTCAAGAACATATTCGAAGACGAGACCAGTGATGACGACATAACAAAACGACAGTTACTATCCAACATCTCAAAGGTCTATGATCCAATGGGCTTTCTGTGTCCACTATCCGTCCGAGCAAAGCTTCTGTTCCAACGTACATGGTCTGAAGAAGCTGCAGATTGAGATACGCGCTTAACTGAGAACATAACCCATGAGTGGAAAAAGTTGAAGTGTGATTATCAGAACATAGATCAGTTCAAGATCCCTAGATATATGGGCGATAAAAACCATTACATAATACATGGCTTTTGTGACGCGTCCGAAAAGGCGTATGCCTGCGCTATTTACGTTGTCACAAAGAGTCCTAAGGGCGAGTACACATCGACACTTGTGACAGCTAAAACAAAATTAGCACCGTTGAAAATCAAGTTGACGTTGCCTAAGCTTGAGCTATGTGCGTTACTACTATCTCAACTCATGAAAAAGGTCATGGAAACTATGCCAAAAAACCTGCAAATCTACGCTTGGACCGATTCAAACAAACAGTTGTGGAAGACATGGTCATCTGACTACCTACAACAGCTGCAAGTTCGTACCAAGTGGAGAACACCCTCAAAAAACATCGAGATCAACGATATTGTCCTAATCAAGGATGAAAACTTACCCCCTGGCAAATGGTTAATGGGTAGGGTCATTGATGTTCACTCTGGTAAGGATGGATACGTACGAGTGGTGTCAGTCAAAACCAAAAATGGAATCATGAAGAGGCCGAAATTAAAACTATCTGTTCTACCGGTGAGAGAAGAACTCACGGAACAACATACAAGCAACGACGTTCAATCGACATGTGATGACGTCACAACAGCTGACTCGCAAGCAAAACAACAACGACCAAGGCGCACGACGAGAAGGCCTGTCAGAACATTCTTTACGATGGTGGTGATGCTGTTCCTATGTCTGTTCACCCCTAGCCAGTGTTCATACAACATATCAGCATTGGATAACAACCAAAACATTTATTTTGACAAAATGTATGACATAAATCTTATACGAGATGAATGTAAATTAACCCGCCAACGGTGACGTCGATTTGACTTACATCTTCGGTGATCCCGGTCCAACGCACCGGGGTTTTCAATGGAAGATTTTTCAAAATATTTTATTTACTGACCATTTTATTTATTAATTATAAATTATTTGACATTAAAACAAAAACATTTCATTAATCATAGCCTCGTTTATTTACTTTTTCTTATGATTAGACAACTTCACATAGACCCTATAAAATTAGTTAGTTTTAACACATATCTATTTTAAAAATTTGTAAATTCAATAATCAACATATTTTTAAAATTAATTCAGTCTTATCAGTTTTTACACTCTAGGAACTTACTTATAATAAACATAAAATGGCATCTTACCAACAAAAAATAACAAAAAAATTTCTTTGAAAATCACTATTCTTCAGTCAAGCAAATACTGCAATAAGGCACTACGTGCTCAAGACACAAATGTTTCTTGTACTTGTGGCAAGTGTATTTGGTCTTTCTATTTTTTTTCCATCCACATACAAAGCACCGGCCATTTCGTGATGGACCAGCCGTTCCAGGTACCTCATCTATCTTCAATATTTCAGACAGTCTTTGTCTTATTGACCGCGGCAGGTGCAAGTGCATCTGTCGTTCTCTTATGTGGGGTTCAATTAATTTCATAGCCAAAGTCTCAATGAATTGACGACGTTTCATTTTGGAATTTTGGTTGTTAGCTGTATGTATCACCTGACTGTTTATGGTACTGATATTTAGCATAGCATAAAAAACTGCCATAGGCCAGCGTCTTGTTCCTCGAGCACAATTGTAATTAGCACACAAACGATCTACCACGTCAACGCCGCCCTTGGTGTCATTATAACACAAAATTATATCCGGTTTTTGACTCTCGGCATCGATTGTAGCATCATTGTGCATTGTGCTAATCAGGAGAACGTTTTTTCTTGCTCTTGGAACATATGAAACCAAAACCATATTGTCGCGAAACCCAAACATATTTGAGTTCACAGTTCGACCACGCAATATATTGAAGTCAGGGGGAATTTCTTTCTTATTCTTCCGAATTGTTCCGACTGTGGTGAGACCTTTCTCAAGCAATGCTTCAGATAAGGGTATACTGGTATACCAATTGTCTGTTGTGACGTTGCGACCAGTATTGAAAATGGGCTCGCATAATCTTTGAACCACAGCCAAGCCAGAATTGTCTTGAGTGTATGGGCCTGCATCTGGCTGTTTTCCGGGATATATTTCCATATTGAATGTATAAAACATTTTGGCATCACACAAAGCTTGAATTTTGATACCATATGGATTTGGCTTATTCGGAATATATTGCCTAAATGAGCACCTTCCACGAAAAGCTTCCAACTTTTCATCGACAGTCACAAAAGCAGATAAAGTGTAACTATCCTTACAATTTTGGACAAATTTCTCGAATATCTCTCGAATGTGGCAAATTTTGTCAAGTTCTTTTCTTTGTATCCTTGTAGTACTATCATCAAACCTCAAAGTTCGTAGAAGAAATTGAAACCTCTGGGCAGACATTGAAAGCCGAAATATTTCCACTGAACCACCATCCGTTCGAAACAACTCTTCAGCATTCAGGTGATTCGATTTTTTCACTCCGGCTAATAGAAGCAAACCAATCAAGCAATATACCTCGTTGAAATCAGTTTGTTTTGCATATGTTTCTCTAGCATAATTATCTTTCACGGAAGCAATGTATTGGTTGGTATATTCGACAATAATCTTAATTATAGTATCGTCAAAGAAGTGTCTCCAAATTCCAAGAGGGTCCTTTTCACTAGATATAACTCGTTTAGGTCCTGGTAACTGAGTTATTATATTGAAACCTCTAGTACGGACAGACTGGCGGTGAGGTTCTTTGCTCCATTTCGTACTTTTATCCTTTCCTAAATAAAAGGCGCTGTTGTTACCTGAAGCTTCTCGGTCACTTAGCTCCTCTTCGCTGTTTGAATCCTGTATGTCGTTTGGTGAAGGATTCTCCAGTTCGATGTCACTTCCAGCTTCACTGTCTGAAGACATTGATGGTCTGTCGTCATCAAACAGTTCATGAAGAAGCGATTCTAGACGATGCTGTTCCCTTTCGTACGACATACTGTAACAAAGTTTATATTTGAAACAAGATAGAACAATTTTGTGATATTTTGATAAAATTGATAAAATCATGCAATAAACTTACTGATTATAGGATAATACAATAAAAAATAACAAAGGTAAGTAAAAAAGTGTACGTAAATCAGACAAAAAACGAATATTGAATAATTCAATTCGGCCTGTTTTACTTACATATTCGGTGACCCCGGTGTACCGCACCGGGCTGGCGCCAAAACTCAGAAACGTACGCCTGCTCCGACGTTGCCGGGTGAACTGACTGTGTGGGAGGGGAAATGAGGCAGCTACTCGAAATCGCGACAAAAGTCGGCGGTGGGGGAAAAAGTTATTCGAATTTTTCAAGTCACCCGGTCCCACAGACATATAGGTCACCGTTCCCGGGTTAATTGTGTACTATAATATGAGTACATACTGGTCAGCATTAAGTCACGTGAAAAGTTACGTCGGTCACTTGGAAGAGTACCTACACGGCATTACGTTTCCAGTACAATACAATAGTATCATACATATATCAGCTGCAACATGAAATATCCGAAATTCAACATTACAACAAGATACTCAAGAACGGTGTTCACAGAAGACAAAAAAGAGGACTGATCAATGGTGTGGGATATGTGGCCCATTCCTTATTCGGTGTCCTGGACGAGCGTTTCGCGAAGAAATATGAAAGGGACATAGAAAAAATTTCTATGAACGAAAATCACCTACAACTTCTGCAAACAAGTGTCATAGAAACACAGTACAATATTCTTCAAAGAAACGAAGCCATCATGAACAAGCAGTTTGGATTGGTTCAGAAATACCTACAGAATATAACCTTCACTACCAACCGAATAGAGAAAATGAATAACCACGAGCTACATATCCTGTCAGCATCCATGTCAGCCATGATTATTATCACTAATGTTCGGCACATGCAGGAAAGTGTTATTAACACCCTAACAGACCTTGCAAATGGTCATATGGACGCTCACTTATTGCCTTCAGAACAATTGGAAGAGCAGCTCAATATTATATACAGACACATACCAAATGACCTGAATTTGCCTGCCGATATGCACGACTTTAGGGAACTATACAAATTGATGAAGATAAGTGGTGCAACCTGAGCAACTCTTATCTGATTATCGAAATTAAGATTCCTCTGGTCAACAAGGAAACCTTTGAGCTGGATAAGGCTATAAGTCTTCCGCAGCAGAACTACATTGTGGAATTTATAACACCCTATATCGCATTCAATCTGTATGTATATCAGAATCCGACATTCAAAATTGTGTCCATACACAGACAAACAGATTGTTATGCTCTATAGATAAAACGATTTATGAGTTACAAATAAAACAAGCAATTTGTAACTTGAGCATACACGATAAAATAATGTGTCATACAAAGGAGGCGCCGTGTCGCGAGCGATGGATTAAGTTACAATGCGATAACAGGTGGCTATTCTCTGGCTGTGGGAAATGCACAGTGCGCATATTTTGCATTGACACTGGAATGATAATGAAGTCACTGACCGGGAATGGCTTACTACAAATCGGTCAAGGTTGTACCATCAAGAGTGACATCTTTTCTATTTTTGGTCACAACTACTTGAGCCAAGTTCAAGTTCAAGAGGACATACCGATCCCATCAGACACTTCCATATTGAATTCCATCCTAAATACTACTTCAGGCTTCGAGCAATTTACATCCATGACCATGGAGACGAGTGGCGTCGCATGAAAACTCAGATTACAAACCTCAAAGAACAAGAAAGCGCACCACTCAGCGTACATGACATACATCAATATTCAGTTATGTACACAATACTGGGATTGATCATACTAGCGGCATCCATTTACATCATTATACGATGTCGCAGAACCAAGAGAGCACTGAACATGATGGCAAACACTCCCGTAATCTCCATTCCTATGGCGGCAGTCACGAGCGGAGACCAGGAACCTGCGCCAAGGACGAGACCGCTCCAGAGATGTGCTCCAGAGTTGGCACCGGTTTTAACGCGTCTTTTCCGGGACTCCTACTCCCTAGACGTAGTCCCAAAATCATGGAAGACGGCTTTCGTCCACCCGATCCCTAAAAAAGGCGACCGCTCAGACCCGTCCAACTACCGGCCTATCGCCATCACCTCCTTTTTCTCCAAAACAATGGAGTCCATTGTAAACTGCCAGCTCATGAGGTACCTTGAGGATCACCAGCTGATTAGTGACAGCCAATACGGTTTTCGCCGTGGTAGGTCAGCTGGTGATCTTCTGGTCTACCTAACTCATAGATAGGCGGAGGCAGTAGAGTCCAAGGGGGAGGCATTGGCCGTTAGTTTGGACATTGCGAAGGCCTTCGATCGGGTTTGGCACAAAGCGTTTCTTTCGAAGCTCCCTTCCTATGGGCTTCCCGAGAAATTGTGCGATTGGATCACCAGTTTTCTTGCAGATCGGAGCATCAAGGTCGTTGTAGACGGTGCAAGCTCCGATTGCAAGCCTATTAATGCTGGTGTTCCACAGGGCTGCGTGCTATCGCCAACGCTGTTTCTTCTGCATATCAATGATATGTTGCAAACTCGTAGCATTCATTGCTATGCAGATGACAGCACTGGTGATGCTCTTTACACCGGCCGAGCCAATATTTCTCGGAAAAACGTCTCTGAGTGCCGGGACAAACTTGTGTCTGAAGTCGAGTCTCTGCTGGACAGAGTCTCGGATTGGGGGCGACTAAATCTAGTCCAGTTTAACCCCCAGAAGACACAAGTTTGCGCGTTAACCGCTAAAAAGAACCCCTTTGTCGTATCCCCTCAGTTTTAAGGCACTCCCCTTGTTGCCTCAGCCAGTATCGGAATCCTCGGCGTCGACATATCGAGTGACGTGCAGTTTCGTGGTCACTTGGAAGGTAAGGCCAAATTGGCTCTAAAAAGCTTGGCGTGCTCAGCAGAGCGGGACAGTATTTCATGCCGGCACACCGCCTGCAACTTTACAAGGCGCAGGTTCGGCCGCTCATGGAATACTGTTCCCATCTCTGGGCTGGGGCTCCCCAGTGCCAGCTCCTTCCACTTGACCGCATCCAGCGCAGAGCGGCTCGAATCGTCGACGACCGAGTGCTTTCCGATCGGCTCTATTCACTGGCGCTGTAGTGGCTCTCTGTGCGTATTTTATCGCATCTATCATGGGGAGTGCTCTGAGGAATTGTTCGGATTAATCCCAGCCGCCAAATTTCGTGAACGCACTACACGGCAAACGTCCCGATACCATCCACACCATCTGGATGCTTGGCGGTTCACCACTGTACGTTTCAAAAGGAGTTTTCTTCCGCGTACAACCTCTCTGTGGAATAATTTACCACCGGAGATTTTTCCGGACCGATACGACCTAGGGACCTTCAAGAAAAGAGTTTACTCCTTTCTAAAGGGCCGGCAACGCACCTGCAATTCCCCTGGTGTTGCGGTTGATCATGGGCGGCGGTAGTCACTTAACATCAGGTGAGCCACATGCTCGTTTGCCCCCTCTTCTATAAAAAAAAAACCGCGATCCGTGCGACTGGACATTCCATCACAAGTGTAGTGCAGTGATGAAATATTTAAGGTATTCGTTATATTATTTTTGTTTATATTATTTTATGATTTTATTTTTGTACCTTGAATTGTTATCATATTATTATTTTTTTTTACATTCTTAGTACCTTTGTGTTTATAAGTTTTCCCTCTTTTGGGCCGGCAGAATGTACGGGTTACCGCACATATTTTATGTAATTTTAATTCAATGACTCGTTTATTTAGGTCACACAGAAACAATGCTACTGCGAAATCATGTAATTCCGTACTTTTGCCATATACATCAATATATAATTCTTTAAAATAAATTCAGTGTTAGATCGACTTTCATTAGGTTTGTTTCGTACACTAACTTTCCCTTGCATCCCATCTGCACTCATTCATCTTATATACTGTATACACCTTACAATAAAAAAAATTCGCCTGAGAATGATACATACTTGACCAATGTAAGATATTATTATTTTTATAATCACAGATATATTGTTATTACATATATTGTTTCAATATATTACAATATATTGTTTCGCTACAAGTATGTAGGATTTTTATATATATGTATATACACCGGCACAATTAGCGGAACACAAAAAAGCAGGATTTTAAAATCTTTTACTTGAGGAACTGGCCAGTTATGATATTTTTTTAATTTATTGTCAAATTTGAAAATAGAAAATTAGATGACATACACTTTTTTCATTCATTTGTTTTATTTTCCCGAACAATACGTTTTGTCAACTTGTTTGAGTAATAACTACGTAATTGTAATTTTTTTTTTGAAAAATTGCACTTAATGGTTTTTTTATAAATTTGTTATTCTATAGGCAATTTTGTTTATTAAAAGCTCTTTATTATGCCTGACTTAACATCACTGGAAATCATTAGGGCTGATGAAATGAGAAGAAATGGCCATACCTACAGATCGATTGCCTCAAGGCTTCGTCGACCAGTATCAACGATTCATCGCAGCATCCAGCGGTACACATCGTCTAATTCTATTGTGAGGAGGAGGGGTCAAGGTAGAAAAAGATGTACATCGAGGCGAGATGACAGTTTTTTACAACTTGGAGTTCGTAGGAGTACGCGATTAACGGCTGTACAAGCTCGAAATAAACTGGAAGACGTTCGAGGAGTACGAGTAAGTGAGCGTACAGTTCGCAGGAGATTTGAAGAAGTTGGTTTAGGATCGTATATACCTGCCAAAGACCCAAAACTTGAGAGACGTCACCGCGTAAACCGATTAAGCTATGCGCGAGAACATCGTCATTGGGATTTGCAGGAATGGCAGCAGGTTCTCTTTACTGATGAGTGCAGAGTTCTTTTAAAACATATCGATGGGAGACAGCGAATATGGAGACGCAAAGGAGAACGCCATATACAGTCTAATTTTGAACACACAGTGGCTTATGGTGGCGGCTCGATTATGGTTTGGGGAGGGA